TAAACCATTTATTCACTGGCAAAATAAATCTATTTTCTCTAAAAGGAATATGTAACAGATTGTTTTTATTTGATAAGGTTTTTAAAACTTATTAAAAACTTTAAAGGTGTGTTTTCACTTATATTATGCTCTAATATATTTTATAAGCACTCTCACCTTTTTCTTTGATAGCATTTATATATTTAATGATTCAAAAACAAAAGTATTTTAGCAATTTTTTAATAAACGTGTAATGACATTAAAATATCTCTGAAAAATTTAATAACACATTTTCCTTGAAACTAACACAAATGAGGAATTGTCCAAAATAATCTTATATTTATTTCTCTATCACAGAAAAATAGTGAATTGTAACTTTCCCTACTTCTTTCTTTTTCCTCTTTCCCTCTTTTTTTGCCTTTGATTTTCTTTTTTTCCATACTCCTCATTTTTTGCTTTTGATTTTCTTTTTTTCCATACTCCTCATTTTTTGCTTTTTGTCCCTTTTCACCTTTTTGACCCTTTTTCCTTTCCTTTGCGTCTCTTTTCACTATTTCCCTTTTTGTCTCCTTTCACCATTTCCCTTTTTTGTCATTTTTTGTCCTTTTTCCCTTTTTTTGTCATTTTTTGTCCTTTTTCCTTTTTTTGTCATTTTTTGTCCTTTTTCCTTTTTTTTCATTTTTGTCCTTTTTTTCCCTTTTTTTTTGTCATTTTTTGTCCTTTTCCCTTTTTTTTGTCATTTTTTGTCCTTTTTCCCTTTTTTTTGTCATTTTTTGTCCTTTTTCCCTTTTTTTTGTCATTTTTTGTCCTTTTTCCCTTTTTTTGTCATTTTTTGTCCTTTTTCCTTTTTTTTTGTCATTTTTGTCCTTTTTCCTTTTTTTTTTGTCATTTTTGTCCTTTTTCCCTTTTTTTTTTGTCATTTTTTGTCCTTTTTCCCTTTTTTTTGTCCCTTTCCCGTTTTTTTGGCCTTTTTCACCTTTTTCACCTTTTCTTCATTTTTTTTCATTCTCCATTTCGCCTTTTTCCTTTTTTTTCGTTTTTCGCCTCTCGCCTCCTTTTTCATTTTTCGCCTCCTTTTTCATTTTTCGCCTCCTTTTTCATTTTTCGCCTCCTTTTTCATTTTTCGCCTCCTTTTTCATTTTTCGCCTCTCGTCTCCTTTTTCGCCTCTCGTCTCCTTTTTCGCCTCTCGTCTCTCTTCCCCCTCTCCTCTCATCTTCCCCTCTCTTCTTTTTTATTTTTGCCTCTCCGCTTTTTTTCTCTTTCATTCTCTCAGAACATTTTTTTTGACTTTTTCATTTTTTCCCTTTATTTTCTCTTTTTTAAAACACATTTTTCATCTTTTTCATTTTGTCCTGCTTTCACCTCTTTTTTTTTTTTCTTTCTTTTTTCTTCATTTTTTTTTCTTCATTTTTTTCTTTTTGAAAATATTTTTCACATTTTAGTCATTTTCTCTCTTCTCACTTCTTTTTCATTTTGTCCCACTTTTTTTTTTTTCATTTTTTAGATTTTTATTATTTTTCATCGATTTTATTTTGACTTTTTTTTTTTTTTTTTATTTTGTCTCTATTCACCTTTTTTTTGTCATTTTTTTTTTGTTTTTTTTTTTTTTTTTTTTTTTTTTCATTTTTCATTTTTGTCATTGTTATTTTTGTTATTATTGCTTTTCTCTAGCACTCCATATTACTGGTGACCGTATTTTATTCATTTCTATGCTTGGTCAGCCCAGCATATGTGGTGATTCCTTAGGTTTTTGTATTTTCCAGTGATGTTCTCTGTCTATTATTTCAACCTCATCCCACGGGGTGGTGATCTCCTTTTTCCTGCCTGATTTTTCTATTTCCACTTGTGTTATAGCTTTTATGCTGTTCTCGTAAGTGGACTGCCCATTTCTCCTTTATATTTCTTACTAAGCCTGAAGGGATGAGTCATAATTCTCTGCATTGGTGTAAGAATGTCAGATGGTTTGATATTTATGCTAGCTTCTGGTGAGACTTTCCTAATTATCAGGTCCGTACCTATCCTTCAATATCTGTCCTCATCTTTATCAACATATTCACAATTTTCATTATTATTCTCCAGTCTTCTTCAGGTGATTGGAATTTTGAACTGAAATCTTTATTTCATTCATTGCGATAGATTGTTCTAGTTCCACATGCCACGCCTCTTCTTGTCTCAGGTATTTTCCTTTAACTCAACTTTCCAAGTTTCTGTTCACCACTACCGTAGCCAGGTATTGAACTCACAACTTTTTGGATCCTACCAACGCTGAGCTATGTCTCTTTTTTTTTTCTTCTTTTTCATCTTTGTAATTTTGTCTCACTTCACCTGTTTTTCATTTTATCCCTTTCTCATTTTTTTGTCAGTTTTCATCTTGACCCTGTTCCCCCTTTGCCACTATTCACTGTTCAGTCATTTTGTAATTTTTCCCCTTTTACTAATTTTGTCCCTTTCCCCTTTTACTAATTTTGTCCCTTTCCCCTTTTACTAATTTTGTCCCTTTCCCTTTTTTTACTAATTTTTGTCCCTTTCCCCTTTTTACTAATTTTGTCCCTTTCCCTTTACTAATTTTGTCCCTTTTCCCTTTTACTAATTTTGTCCTTTCCTTTTACTAATTTTGTCCCTTTCCCCTTTTACTAATTTTGTCCCTTTCCCCTTTTACTAATTTTGTCCCTTTCCCCTTTTACTAATTTTGTCCCTTTCCCCTTTTACTAATTTTGTCCCTTTCCCCTTTTACTAATTTTGTCCCTTTCCCCTTTTTATCCATTTTCATCTCCACGTTTTGCCTCTTTTTCATCTCCACGTTTTGCCTCTTTTTCATCTCCACGTTTTGCCTCTTTTTTAATTAAATCCCTTTTCACCTTGTCATTTCATTTATTTCACCTTTCTTTCTACCTCTACTTTTACACAACTTTTCATTTTTTTTTTTTTTTTCTTTTTTCTTTTTTTCTTTTTTCTTTTTTTCTTTTTTCTTTTTTTTTTTTTTTTTTTTTTTTTTTTTTTTTTTTTTTTTTTTTTTTCTTTTTTTTTTTCTTTTTTTTTTTTTTTTTTTTTTTTTTTTTTTTTCTTTTTTTTTTTTTTTCTTTTTTCTTTTTTCTTTTTTCTTTTTTTTTCTTTTTTCTTTTTTCTTTTTCTTTTTTTTTTTTTTTTTTTTTTTTTTTTTTTTTTTTTTTTTTTTTTTTTTTTTTTTTTCTTTTTTTTCTTTTTTTTTCTTTTTTTTTTTTTTTTTTGCCTTTCATTTTTCTTTTTACCTCTTTTTCTTTTTGTTCTTTTTGTCACTTTTTCTTAATACTTTCCTTTTTCCCCTTTTGCTTTCTTTCCTTTCGCCTTTTTTCCTTTCATTCTTTTTGCTTATGATTTATGTTGTTCTTTGTGCATAAATATTAACCTTTCCCACTTTGAATTCTAATATGACACTCTGCTCATTTTAGTCTTTAGTTAAGTCTGAAAAAGGGCTGAGGTCAGGAGTTCTCTTTGGCAGCGAGTCATGTGGACATCAGAAGCTTGGTTATCTCATGTCGTCTGCTTCTCCAACTGGCTGCCATTTGTTTTGTTTACTCCAGTACTCTGCTTATATTGACCTCTGTCCAAATACTGGCATGGGGGCTGACGTGTTTCCCGTTTTCCAATAAGAGTTCTTTGTTGTATGGTTTTGGAAAATTAATTATCCTTCCAAATTTTGGTAGTGGTTGCAGGCACTGCGCCACCCTTTCTCTTATTGTGCCTCATACCATTACCTGCCAATGGGTAGAGGAAATCTATTTGTCTCGCTTGGTATTTCGTTTAAGTCTCTCCCCTTGGTTGTCATCTTCACAAATTTGATTTTCAAATTCTCTGGGCGTTGGACTTGTCTTTGGCCATTTCCAAGTTATATTTTAACTTAACACCTTTTTGTTCTCTTCCTAAGCTCATATTCCAACTTAGACATTTTTCCATTTACCAGTGTCACACTGTGTTGCACTAACAAAAAAAAATCAAAACATTTTTTACAAAATAGGTGTTAAAGTAAAAATAATTTGAAAAATTTCAAAAAAATAACTTCAAAGAGAAATTTAATAAGAAAAATTTAATTTAAGTTAAAGTAAAAATTTTTTTTTTTTTTATTTGAATTGGTTTTGTATACAGTTTCTTTCTTGTGTGAAACTAAAAAAAAATTACTTAATTGAAGTATAACCCACACTAAAATAAATATATAAAATAGGAATTAAAGAAAGTAAAAAAATTACTTTAAATATTAAAGTTTAAAATTTTGAAGGGATGATTTGCAAAGCCTGTTGATATGTAAACATAAAACACAGAAATGAAAATGAAAGATGGACAGATTTTTCAGGGAGGACAACTCTTAAAACATGTGAAAGACTCCCATACTTGAAAATGAGAATGTTTCTACACTAAAAAAAAATTAATTATTTAAAAAATCTTGGTGTAAAATGATTTTATTAAGCTTTTCAATTTAAAAATATTACTAACTGGATTAAAGTAATACAGAATTTTAAGCAATTTAAATTATTATAATTAAAATTTTTTAAAAATACAAAAAAAAAAAAACTTAAGCCCATAGTATCTTAATAAATCTTATTTATAAAAGCAATTAAAAGCTTTACTAATTAAATAATTTCATGGTTTTATTGAATTTTCTACTTTATAATTCAGAGCAGATTTTTAGAAAATGTGTTATAGTTTGAAAAAAAAAAATGATTGATCTAGATTCCCCAAGGAGTCCTGCTACTTTTAACTAATAATAACAATTTTGAAATTGAAATTGAAATTTAATTTCTCAAAATTTCATGAAATGAAGTAAGTGAGGGTTAAGTGTAAAAAAATCAAAAATAATTTCATTCAATTGTGAAAGTCATGAAATTTTCATTAAAAACCATCAATTATTTGATTTTTGCAGGAATTTCTCAATGTGTTTTTCACCTGAAAATAGTCTTTCCTCTTAATAATAACAAACATTTTGATGATAAAACTTAGTTTTTATTAAGTTTGGGGCCTTTTTTTATCATGCTATGTTGTTTTAGCAATGACAAAGTTGAGGTGTCTACTTTTCACCTTTTTGTCATTTTGTCTCTTTTCTCTAATTCTTTTCTTTCTATCTTTTTGCCTCTTCTTCATTTTGTCCTATTTTCATTACATCCCTTTTTACCTATTTGTCATTTTTTTACTTTTTGCCTCTTTTTTTTGCCTCTCTTTTTTCACCTCTCTCTTTTTTCACCTCTCTTTTTTCACCTCTCTCTTTTTTCACCTCTCTTTTTTTCACCTCTTTTACTTTTTTGCCTCTCTTTTTCATTTTTATCCTTTGTCACTTTTCACTGATGTCACTTTTCACTTCTTTTACACCTTTCTGTTGTCATTTTGTTCCTTTTTGTCTATTTACCTTTTTGTCCTATTTTGTTTGTTTTTTTGTTCACCTTTTTTTGATTTTTGTCATTTTTCATTTCCTTTTTGTTTTTTTCATTTTACCCTTTTTCATTTTACCCTTTTTCATCGCTTTTCATCTTGTTGCATTCCCCTTTTTTTGTCCCTTTTTACCTTTTCTCCCCATTTTATATTTTATCCCTTTTGCGTCTTTCTTTTTCCCTTTTTCTCCTGTTTTCATTTTGTCCTTTTCACCCCGTTTTTCATTTTTTTTTCACCCGTCCCATTTTGTCCTTTTTTTTTTTTCATTTTTTGTCCTTTTTTTGATTTTGTCCTTTTCATTTCCTTTTTCATTTTTTTTCATTTTTCATTTTTTTTTTTCACCCCGTTTTCATTTTGTCCTTTTCATCCTGTTTCATTTTGTCCTTTTTTTGTCCCTTTTTCATTTTGTCCTTTTCACCCCGTTTTCATTTTGTCCTTTTTCACCCTTTTTCATTTTGTCCTTTTCACCCCGTTTTCATTTTGTCCTTTTCACCCCGTTTTCATTTTGTCCTTTTCACCCCGTTTTCATTTTGTCCTTTTCACCCCGTTTTCATTTTGTCCTTTTCACCCCGTTTTCATTTTGTCCTTTTCACCCCTTTTTTCATTTTGTCCTTTTCACCCCGTTTTCATTTTGTCCTTTTCACCCCTGTTTTCATTTTGTCCTTTTCACCCCCGTTTTTCATTTTGTCCTTTTCACCCCGTTTTCATTTTGTCCTTTTCACCCCGTTTTCATTTTGTCCTTTTCACCCCGTTTTCATTTTGTCCTTTTCACCCCGTTTTCATTTTGTCCTTTTCACCCCGTTTTCATTTTGTCCTTTTCACCCCGTTTTCATTTTGTCCTTTTTTGCAACTTTTTGCATCTTTTTGCATCTTTTTCATCTTTTTCATTTTGTACCTCTTTTTGCCCTTGTTTTACCCCTTTTTCATTTATATTTTTGTCCCTTTTTAAAATTTCTCTTTTAACCATTTTCCATTTTCAATTTTGCCCCTTTTTTTTCATTTTGTTACTTTTGATTTTTTAAAAATGTTCTCTTTTAACCATTTTCAGTTTGTCCCTTTTCACCTTTTTTTTCATCTCTACCTCTTGTGTCTTCTCCCTTTTGCTATTTTTTTTTCCTCTTTTGACATTTTTGCTGTTTTTTGTACTTTTCCTTTTCAACTTTTTGTCCTTTTCAACTTTTTGTCCTTTTCAACTTTTTGTCCTTTTCAACTTTTTGTCCTTTTCAACTTTTTGTCCTTTTTAACTTTTTGTCCTTTTTTGCCTCTTTACAACTTCACCCTTTTTCCACTTGTCATTTGGTCTCTTTTTATCTTTTTCTTCTTTCTTTTTCAACTTTTTTCTCAACTTTTTTCTCATTTTGTAATTTTGTTTCTTCTCCCTTTTTTTCCATTTTGCCCTTTTTTCATTTCACCCTTTTTCATTTCACCCTTTTTCATTTCACCCTTTTTCATTTCACCCTTTTTCATTTCTCTTTTTTTTTTTTTTCACCTTTTTTTCACCTATTTTTTTTTTTTTTTCACCTTTTTTTTTTCACCTATTTTTTTCACCTATTTTTTTCACCTATTTTTTTCACCTATTTTTTTCACCTATTTTTTTTTTTTTTATTTTTTTTCACCTTTTTTTCACCTATTTTTTTTCACCTATTTTTTCAATTTTTTTTTTTCACCTATTTTTTTTTTGCTATTTTTTCACCTTTTTTTTTTTTTTTTTTTTTTTCACTTTTTTTTTTCTTTTTTTTTTTTTCACCTATTTTTTCACCTATTTTTTTTTTTCTTTTTTTTTTTTTTTTTTTTTTTTTTTTTTTTTTCTTTTTTTTTTTTTTTTTTTATCCTTTTTTTTTCTTTTTTTTTTTTTTTTTTTTTTCTTTTTTCTTTTTTTCTTTTTTTTTTTTTTTTTTTTTCTTTTTTTTTTTTTTTTTCTTTTTTTTTTTCTTTTTTTTTTTTTTTTTTTTTTTTTTTTCTTTTTTTTTTTTTTTTCTTTTTTTTTTTTTTTTTTTTTTTTTTTTTTTTTTTTTCTTTTCAACTTTTCCCCATCTTACAGCTACAACAAAATTATTCTGTATAGTCACCATCATTGGCTGTGCATTTTAACCAGCCAGTTTCTGTGAATATTCAACAAGAATCTTTCTGCTCAGTGCTATCTGTATGAAGGCGAATAATCATAGGTTATTGACAATACATATTGCCATAACATAGGTACCTCCACGATCGCTAAAAAAAGAGCATAGCATGATGAAAAAAGACGCCAAACTTGACGAAAACAAAATTTTATCGTCTAAATGTTTGTTATTATTAAGAGGAAAGGTCAAAAGTATTTTTTCTCCATTTTTAATCGTTCTAGCACGTCCGAAATTTTCGTTAAAATCTAGTTTTTTTTTTGAGTCAGCAAAATTGACCATTTTTTCCATTTTAAAAAAAAAAAAAATCTGACTTTAAGAAATTTTTTAAATATCAATTATCATTTTTTCAAAACTTATTTTAAGAAAATCAGAAATTATAATGTTTATTTAAAATATTTTGAACCAAACTTAACTTAACTTAGCTTTTGTGCCAAAAAGATGTAATTTGAAAATAAAACAAAGCAGGTCATAAACTTTCGCGTCTCTTGACATGTGATGAATGATATATTTACAAATTCCATGAGGCTAATTTGTTCTATGGAAGGAGAAAAAGTGAAATAATTTACATTTACGTGAACAAATTATTTACCCGTTATTTTTTAACAAAAACTTTCAGCGGTCTAATTTTTTTTTTTTTTTTTTTTTTTTTTTTTTTTTTTTTTTCTTAGCTTTCACCTTTACGTTTATGATGCTTTATGGGAAATATATTGTAAAAAAATTAAAATAAAACTGTTAAGAGTGACATTAAATTTCATATTTCTTAAGAAAGGTATCTAATTAATTTATAGGTACCTTTCTTATGAAATTTTATCAGAATTGTACATAAAATACTATAATTTTATATGTACATTTATTACATTCTACTGTTATTTCTATTTGCATTCATTTCATTATTAATTTTGATATTTCATTTATGGAAAAATGTCGTAACTGAGATTAATATAAAATAAGATCATATAAATTTCATAAGATGATACTGATACTTGTAGGTACCCTTCTCAGTTGAAATTGAAAAATCAAATTAACTTCTCCACACGTGTTTCCGTAAAAAAGTAAAGGCCTTAACAGCGGAGAACAATGCTTAACTCAAATAACGCAACTTAATTATATTCTGGTTGGTTTTCCGTATTTTATAATTACAGCTCGATTATAAGCACAAAATTACATTTCTTAATTACTGGGTATCTTCTGATTAGTCAAAATGATACAATTTACAACGCTAAAAAAAATCTATCTCATAAGGACACTTATGAAAGCCGATCTTTTAACTAATTTTATAATATTTTAACAACTTAAATGTAAAATCTATTATAATTAATGAAATAACAAATAATTGTATTAAAAATTCATTTTTCATCAAAATTTTTTTTGCTTTCAGAAAATATTGTCCATATTCATAAAAACAACTAAAAGCAAATAAAAAGCATTTGAAATTAAATAATATATTTGTTTTATTGAGTTTTGTATGTTACAATTCAGAGCTGATTTTCAGGTACTGCATATCAATTAAAAAAAAAAAAACATGATTTGCATTCCTCAAAGCCCTGTGCTTTTAATTATTGTAATCACTAAAACCGATGCGATCAATTTCTAGCATTTTCATAAAATTAGTTATGGGGGGTAATAAATATTTTTTTAAAATATTTCTACCATGACTTTCATAAAAAAACATATTTATAATAATTTCGATCATCTGTGAATAGTTTCTGAAAGTTTCATTAACATCCGATAATTATTTCTATTTTTGCACGATTTTCAAATTAATGTGTGTCATACCAAAAAAACGTGCTAAAAATTGTCTGTTATTTACTAGTTTTAGCTGATACAAATAGAAACAAGGTTTTTTAATCAAAATTTAGAATGTTCTAAAAAGAAGGAAAATTTTTTAAAAATAATTAAAAAAAAACTTTGGTCTTTCCTCTTAATAATAACATAAGCATTTAGACAATAAAATTTATTTTTCGGCAAGTTTGGCGTCTTTTTCATCAAGCTATGCTCTTTTTTTAGCGATTTCGTGGAGGTACCTACCATAACACGACCATCTGCATCCAGTATATGAGGCATTAAATTCAGATCATCCCTTCTACTTTATACTTAAGTATTTTTGCTTGATTTGATTGACTTGTTTACTTCTATCAACTGTGTCTCCTTGTCTTTCTGCAAAGTCGTTAGAATTCAATTTCATGAAATGCTTAAAGCATTTTGTAATTATATAGATTTTTAATCATATTATAATCTCTATTATATTTATAGAGATTGGATTTGTGTAAATTAGTGATTTTGTAAAATTATTTAAAATTAATTAGTTACTAAAGCTTGCTGTTAGCAAAAATTAAGGTTTTTGAATACATCAATGTAAATCATGCAAAAATTGTAGGTGGCATCAGCATTTTCTTTATATCAAAATCATCCTAAAAAACAGCTATCAAACAATATACTGAATTGCTTATGTGGTTGATTTAAATGCTGTAAAAAGTAAAGGTTTTGATGTTTGTATTGACCTTACATTATGCCTTTGTCATGAAAGATGCCATAGCTGATCATTACTAATCAGATTAGAGTGCAAATAATGTCTGAATTTCAATGGGAAGTGTAAACCTAGATAGAAAAAAATAGCTAAGTTTCAACATTCTGAAGGTGGGATAAAAGTAGTATTTAAGTATACTTAATGACCTACACAATAATGTCCAAATATAGACAGTTCTTTTCTTGTCTGGCTCAGACCTGTTCTTGGTCATAGGCTTCTTTGCTCTTGAAAGTCAGAATGGTTATTCCATTGTAGTTGATACTTGATTCACATCACATCACAATGTTGTAAATACAGTTCTTGTGAAAAAATTTTCTTTTACTTTAGTCATCTATTTTTATTTCTCTCTTTGTTGTCTGTTCAGGTCAATCTTCACCTAAAAATCAAATATCAATTGTTCCATCTTGATCCAGATAAATAATGACTTTGATAAGGGCCCATTATTGTCTGCACAGAAAAAATATTTTAATAGTTGATCAAACGCAAATATAAATTTCAGTGCACTTAAAGGAAACCATGCATTTCCACAATCTGGCTTCTTTGTAGCAACCACTTTTGTTTACAATTTCATTTTACAACATTTTTTCCATGCAATTAATGAACTTTTGAAAGTTGAATCACAAAACATATTACAGTAATTACTATAGGTTTATCTAACGAGTAAAAGCGTTCAATGCCTACATTTTGTAACAATGATTTAACTGAGATTGATTTGTAATAACTTAAAGTCAATGATGCACTAAGAAGCTGCTGATAATTTTTGAAAATAAAAAGAAATACTTTGTTAGCATATCAGAGTAAATGTAATTTAACAATTGTCAGAAATATAAATGAAAACATACTCATAATTTTCGCATAATAAATAACTTTATCTTAATTTTATTTTATTTTTTTTGTTCATTTATTGCCAATGAGAATCTATTTTATGTCTAACAGCTACAGAAGTATACTGTTATAGCTATATTAAAACATTTATTCAATAAAGTATGACAAGCATATCAAAAAGACGTAATGTGAAAATTCTCTACATTTTGAGCTTTGAAAAAATTTTTCTGTTTATAAAGTTAAATACTTAAACTGTTGAGGAAATCTTTGCTCTATGTTAAATTTGTTCATCCCCCCCCCTTCATGAAATTCAGCTTATACTCTCCAAATCAAGGTCAATATCTGTTTGGTTAAATTTATGTACTACAAAACTGATAAGTTTTTTTTTTTTTTTTTTTTTAAATCTTTTAAACTTGTTTGAACTCTTTTTCAATAAGTGAATGCTAAATATGCTGTTTTACTGTGTGATGCCATTTCATGGCAAAATTATGACAACATTCTCTGATTGGCTGTTGTTCACTACACCTGTGGTGACATCCAAGGTTGATTGTATTTGCATATACACCCAACTTGCTATGTGCACATGTTCATCTCCTTGGCCATGATTGCTTTCAATAAATAATGAAGACAATTGTATTTCAAGATTCTCTGGTTTGGAAGTAGCATCAATACGATTTCTCACTTAAACGTGGGATCCTTCCTTCAGCTTTGAGAGGTTGGCTGCTATCTTGCCAAACTTCCGGCCATGAAAAAAGAATCCTTACATTCACTGCCTGTTGCTTCCGTCCTTACTGATTCCTCACTGGGCAGCTACTGACTCACCGACTGCTGGGCACCTCTCCCCCCACTCCCAATTTCCTTCCTCTCTCTGCTTATATGGATAGTCCTGGGGTCTCACCCCCTCCATCCACTTGTGTTCCAGAAGGTTTGAGACCACCCCAAAGCCACATGGGTGATCAAATCTTCAAAGAACTATTTTTATGACTATGGTAAGGGCCATCATGGCCTGTAAATTCAATTACTCTTATGTCAGTAATTGATTTGCAAAAGTTTTAATATCTATTTGATTTGTTTAATAAAAATACATTTCATTGTTAAATAATAGTTAGTGAACACCTTACCAGATGGTAGTCAGTAAAAGATATTCTTAAATTTCTAAAGTGACTTACCTGTTTTATAATTATTTTCCCCATATAGTTTTTACATTTAGTTTTCATAATCTTGGAAAAATTATGAACACTTTTTCAACCATACAGGAACAGAATTGATTCTTTCTCCACATTTGGATATTGGTATGTCAAATTTGTTACAAATACTCATTACAAAAATTAATTTTATTTTACTTCTTATAAATAGAATTGTTTATTTGCTTCCCTTCATTATATAAACTATTTGTTTTATGCTTTCACATTTCTTTTCAGTTTCAGTGACCTCAGATATACCAGACGTCATTGAAGATCTTCTTAACACTAACTACATTGGAGTAATAGAGAATTTGTTTGCTCGAGATGTTCTAGGAGAAAATTTGAATAAAGTGACTCCATCCAATATTGAAAATGCAATTAAAGATAATGTCAAAACACTTATTACCAATAAACCTGAAAAGTAAGAACATTATTAACATTATTTTTTACATAGCTTCTTTCTTTTTCCTTTGATTTATTTATTATCTTAACATCTCTGTTGAGCTTAAGTCTCACAGTTGTCATCTAAACTTATGGAAGATTTATATTGCTTATTATTGTCTGTATTGTATATTTATATATTTGTAAATTATGCCATACCAAGCAGTAAAGATATTTATACTTTTTGATTGATCAGGTTTTTTTTACCTTTGACTCATTTTTTTTTATGTACCGATGTTGCTGTATAGTAAAACTATTTAATTCCTTTTAAAATTAGTTAAGGGTGCAGATTATTCATTACCATACATGAATGGACAATGCAAACCTCCTTTCCACCCACTGCGCCACTTTTTCATCTAATAAGACAGACACACTCACAGTTCTTTCTTCTTTCTCTAGTTGCAAATATATGATTGTATGTTTATCACAAAACTTATTTCTCTTTTTTTTTTTTTTTTTTTTTTTTTTTTTTTTTACTTAAAGTTCACAATATATACAAAGTCACAAAACTTTATAATATAAATACAAACATTAATAATTGTTTTCTGGGGAGTAGGGGGTTAGAACATTTTTGAACCTGTATCTCAAAAAGAATACTGAATTGGTTAAGTGCAACTTAGTTCTTTTTTTTTTTCTCCATATTCACTTATGATTAAACTATAGTGTTTGTCAAATTCTTATTATCATTAAGCTTATTATTTTGGAAATATGTGCCAGTTTTTTTTCTTGCTACATTCTTTCAATTCCTGTCTCATTATTTGATAGGAATATGATTAATGCTATTCACTTTAGAATCTCAGCTATTTACATCACTCGGACATCTTACCAACAAGAAATTTCCAACAAACAAAAAACAATGGAAAACATGGTTTCCAGAAAAGAATTTTCTATTTGTAATTTTATTTAACATTAAACTATTACCACTTTCTATATTATTTATTTTTTTACTACACATGCTGTACTAACTTTATGAAACTAATACAATGATGTGCATGTTTTCAATATTACAAGATTCAGCTACTTATTTTTTAATCTATGTTTTGTGTACTTGGGATTTTTCTCACTGCCTGTAAAGCCATACATATTCAGAATTAACATCATCCAGAGAAGGTTTTATACCATTTATTTAATTTATTTAGACATGTCACAATTTGGATTTAAATTAATACTTAAAAATATAATTATAAAGGCAATATTTCACATGAAATCTAACTCTAAGATCAATTTTATACTTTTACCATGCATTGTTTGGTTTTTAATTTTCAGATATTTTGAAAAAAGGTTTCAGATTCCTCTCATAAAATGGTGTTTGCATTTGATAGCAATTCAAGGTTCTTTTTTTTTCTGTATAACTTAAATGTATTGAAACTCAAGTATAGATTTGAAATATTTTTGTTAAGCAGTTTTCATTCCAACAATATAGCATTCTTGATAAATATATGTACAATGCTTTTATTCCAATTCTGACATTAGAAAGGTACCAAATATTTGCCTTCCTTTATTTGTAGGCATCACCAGGTTTACAGCTGGTTTACAGCATTTATAATGCAAAAAATATATTTTTAGAATGTTGATACAGTAATATATATAAGAGAAGACTATAATAGCCGTAACAACTTTTTCTATCCTCAGCACCTAACAAAAAGGATTCAAAATATTTATATCGTTTATAAAATTGTCATCCGGTGATATTTTCCATAGCATATGTGATTGTAGAAAATTTTAGTAAATATTTTAAGCATCTAAAATTGATAGAATAATGAGAATGCGATAAACTTCATTTCACATATTTAATTGTTATAAAGTAAAAATAATTACCCAATTGTCCCAGGATGGTTAAATTAAAAGGAATATATTGTTTTTATGTTGCAAACATGATTTGTATATTTTTATTAAAACTTTCTTTTTTAACATTTTTTGAGCTGATATAAAGAAGCATTTATTTAAAATTTCCTTATTTCAATCTGACACTTACAAAATAATTTTTATAATAGTATAAATTTTGTAACAATATTTTATTTTTTGCAGTTCCTTAAAAGTTTTGGCTGTGGGTGTTGCCTGTCTCCAATTCTATGTCCAGAATAACTGGACTGGGCCCTTTATTACCAGTTCACCATTAAAAAAGTACTATGACATGTGGAGTTCAAGTATTACCATCAAGGTATAGTAAAAAAAAAATAAATAAATAAATAAAATAAACTTCTCTTGGCATAGGCTGACATGATTTTTGAAGAGAGATCTGAGATTGGTTTTCTATTAATCTGAACCATCAAATTTAAATTATTTCTATCTCATTCCATATTTTGCCCTTTTTTATAATACATTTCAGGAGGAAGATTTGAATGAACAAATATTTAGTGCATTGTCCATGGATGGAGAAGAGGTCTACAAATTAAGCAAACACATGTCCTGTTTTTTCTTAGCCAAATGTGTGTTAATTGGATGTCAGGATATGCTCCAACACCTTTGGGTAAGTTACTTTTAAATAAACAATATAGCAACTTTTTCTCTACATTGATATACCACAACAAATAATTAACATTTAGGTATTGTATAATATGCACAAACCATGTAATAAGTGTGCACACACACACACACAACTTGTATAATCACAAAAGAATGTTGTCACCACATTTTAAAAACAATATTTGTTTATTATTCTACTTTTTTTTATGTAATTTACCTTCATTTCAGTCTCTAATTGGCCTTGGAAATGTTTTTTTTTATCAAAATATGTTCCTTCTCAAATCATAGGTGCACCTTTTGTAAGTTGACTTCTATGGCAAGATAGAAAACCGCTTTAGTCAGATTTTGCCAGAAAAGTTAACTCCAAGTTGGTGGTATAACCCACTCAGGATAAGTTCTTCCTACATCAGACAGATGTTAAATTGTGATAAATGGATTGCACTTACACAGGTCCAGGTAGAAAAATATTTACAATAAAAATAAAAGTAAAAACTACAAGTCAGACAATGGAATCAAAGTCAGAGGGGACACTTCTTTCATTAACCCAGAAATGTAAATCAAAAAGTCAAGCACAAGAATTCCTAAGAAGATAAAAAAATAATAATGATTCTAAATTTCCATACATTTGTAGCTTGAATGATATATAGAAAAACAGGCTTTTCTTGGAAATAAGCTGCCAAGTCTTAAGAAAGTAGATGAAAATTAAGATAGCAAAATGTACAAATTAGAAGAGAGTTTAGAATAATGACAAAATATTGAACACTAAAAAAAATACAATAGATTTTGAATATCAGATTTCTGAAAAGGATTGATAAAATGACCCACGAAAGATAATGTTATGATCAGTGTATTACTTAGATATTTGATGTGCTCTAACCAACTGAGCTATAGAGAACTCAATCAATCAGACAAGGAATTTTGCTTAAAGGCACTTGAATAGTGCCTTTAAGCAAAATTCCTCAATTCCCATTGACTTTCTTGAAATCTTCATATCTGCTCAGTTTTGTATTCAAATGTAAAAAAAGAAATTTTCTAAAGTAATGAATTTTTATTTATTGATCCAACAGATTTTATCAATTTAAACATTATTTTTAGTGGATACTCGTATTTTAAGCACATTTTAAATATTCTAATTTCAAAGATATCAAACATTAACTACTGAAAGAAAAAGCTCAGATGAGGCTGTTTTTTTTTTTTCATCTATAAATATATAGATCAAATTTTGCACATACTATAACTGATTTATCAAAACTAAGTCTTCCTGTAAGAATTTCAGGACAAAACTTAAGTGAAAAATAATGTATCTCAGATAAAAAAATTATTTTACAAATGTGCACAGATATATTTATAATGCTATAAATTTTATATTACTTGCCTTTTTTACTGCTAATATGAATATATAGTTATTGTTTATACAATCTTTAAAAGATAAAAAAATCAGATTGAGATCTTGACAAAAAAATATCGGATTTAGAATGCTTAAGATACTGATAAACTTTCATTAGTGAGATTTTTCTTATGTCATTTATGCTATGTTTTGGCCCTCAATAGCAATTAAAAAAAAGAGAAGAAATTAGGTGTAGCAGGGTGTTGAATCTCATCTTGTACTTACAACTGTTTCAATAACCAGTCTGGTTCTGCTCAAATTATGTAATCATCTTTTTGGGACTACTATTTTAAAACGGAAAACTGTATTCACATAAGTTGTTTATAATGCTTATTTCTTTCTTCTTGGAGCCTTTTGAAACCCAATATTTACAAACACATGCTGGAAGAACAACTGAAAAATATAAATGCTTTCAGTTTACTACATTATTTTGATGAATGCTGTGTTAGGTACATTTCTATTATAGCCTGGTAAATACTGCAAAGGGAAGAAATATGGCTCGTCTAACAGAGAATAATATCACTCTTTGTGCCCACATAATGGACAGAGTTATGTTGGGTTTGTTCAGATACAATAAATTCATGTCTCCAAAGACTCTGCAAAACAGTTTTCAGCAGATACGTTATCAGAGTTGAGTGGTGACTAATTTGAACCAAACACAAATACTTATATTGATCATTTATAGAAAGGGAGTAAAATCTTAAAATCTGAAAAATTCTCATCCAGTGCCTCTAGGAAAATGTGGGCATATATTCATATTGGTCTTTATTTAAAAGTACATATAATACCAAAAACTTTGTTTATCAACTTAGACTTTTGTCTGCATTATCTATGAAGGAGTCTTGAAAGGTTCTTGGTCTGATCTGCTTCCCAAAACCTGACCAAAATCAGAACAAAATCAAAACTTTTAAAATTCTTTCTTAGTTGGGCAGATAACTTTTTAGCATCTTATTGTATAAAAAATCCTTTTGTTAGATCAAATGAGCATAATATTTTTTGGAACTTACCAATAACTTTAAAAAAAAGAAATAAAAGCTGACATATGAGGAAAAGTTTACTTAGAATGTTAAAATGCTTTTTTTTCCCAAATATATTCTTTATAATAAAAAATAGTTTGTTTACTTTATCTGTATATACCACTTGGATGTTTTTTTTTTCTCTTCAAAGGTTTGTATCATGAAATCTCACACAATTTGACCATTGGCTTCCTCCAGTTTTAGACTATTATCTGGATTTAATAAATGTATTTTAATTTTCTTCCAGAGTTATGACTGGTGGCTCATACGAATTATCAATATATATCAACAATTACTTGATGATAAATCTCCTAGTCTAAAGAGTCTTGCTCTTGCCACACTAGATAAAAGTAAGTTTTTGTTCATCTGGTCTTCAATTTTATTCTATTTTTATTATCTCTCAATATTATTACTAGCTGTTCTACTGGATAACCCATTCTTCCAGATAACTCAATACAGTATTTAATCTGCTGTTATTACATATTCTAACTCCACTAGCCAAATCTTTCCTTAAATATATGTTTCTCCAACATCCCATAATGAAAAATTCTTTTCTCTTTGCTTTTTCTTCTGGTTAAGATTAAATCAGAAGGTATTCACTTTTACCACAAATCTAGCAAATTAAAAAATATTAAATTATGATCTTTTTTTAATAAAAATAAACAATATAGCAACTTTAATGTAATCCCTTATTAACTATTTCTCAAGTCCTTTGCTTACAAAATTCAGACATAATGAAAACAAAATAGTTTAACCAAAGAAATTGCATTATGAAATGAAATGACAGTTTTGAATTCTGTTGCTGTAAATTATTCAACTCTAAAATCATTTTGAACTAAGGTTTTTATAACTATTTATAAAAGTCACTAATAACAAATAAAAATAATCATGCCAAAATATTTTATAAAATTTTTCAGTGTTCAGCAAACTATCAGTATTTGAAGGTGATCAGCAAAGGTGAGTATCTTTTTAATGCAAATTAAATTTTAAAAATAGGCAGTTATACACAAACCAAATTTTTAAAATGTATATATATCAATTGATAGTACAGATTACATCTGTACAGAAATGATTAAACTTTATTAGCTATTTTGTTTGATTCATTACCTTAACATCAGGCACTGATATCTGGTGAGTCAGTGTGAACACTGGCTAAGCTGCTTATGGCAAGGCAACAGGAATTATCAGAGTTTGAAGAGGGGGCATGATAGTGGGTGCCAAATGGATGGAACATTGCATTTCTGAAATTATGGAGATATTTGACAGCTTTTGATCTACAGTTTTACTTGTCTGCCAGAAATACTTGATGGAATGTATGACTGACCAGGTTCTTAATGATTATGACAAAAGGTGTCTAGCTAGAATTGTGTGTAGTAACAACAAGCAATACTGGCTCAAATCACATCCACATTTAATGTACGAGGTACCAGGTGCATATCCATATCTTTTGTTTTTATGTGCTCCTTTTAACACTATGACACTAGACACAGCACCTCACTTAGGTTTATAATGTTGTTAATTCAACTCTGTAGAACTATCAATAGTTGTCATGGCTTGATAAGTTATGGTTCCAGTTGTTTCAGGCTTATGGTAGGATTTGGGTGTGGTGTAGACCCCCCCAAATAAGGCCAGGGATCCCAGTTATCAACAAGACATTGTGCAGATTGGTGGTAGTTCCATAATTGTGTAGGGTGTGTTCACATGGTCTGCAGGTCCATCTAAAGCTGTCATTAACTATTACACTGCTCCATGCCCATTTACACTCATTCATGAACTTCACTTAACCCAACAACAATGGATTATTCCAGCATGATAATGCACTGTGTCATCAGGTAAACTGTGAACTGTTAGTGAAAAAAAACTAAGTGAACCAATTATTTTTTTTTATCTTATCATAGGCCTAGCTTTAATATATAAAATTGTTACTTTTCATAAATTATAAAATAGACAAACTGAAATAATTCCAATACTTTAAGGATATAACATGCATTCCAATTTTTTCCAGAAATATCAAACAGAAATTTAAAAGAAAATTGAAAATTAATATATTTTTTTTAAGTGCAGAAACTTTATTTAAAATCCAAAAATGGGTATTTTTTTCAATTTACAAGTTTTCATGGTGGTAAAACAATGCAATGTTTTATTTTATTTTTGTTTAGATAGTTGAAGTTTTATTAAGCAGAATAGATTAAAAAATTAAAAGTATGATAACATTTATTTCAGTTTTTAAAAGTGAAATTAATTTTATCAGACTTTTAATTCTTAGTCTACTACTTTGCTAATAATAACTTCAACTACGTAAAACAAAATAATTTTAAAAGTCATTGCATTTTTTTACATTGTAAAAAGAAAAATGAACCATGTTTCTGTTAATGTGGCATTTAATTTACAACTTGAAATAAATATTAAAAAACTGATAAATTATGAATTAAAAGTACAATGTTTTTTGTTTCCCTTTTTAAATAAAACAGAGGGTATATAAACAAGTTATCTTTCTTTTAATATCATAAAAAGATTTTAAAGTTTTCTCAATTTAGAAAAAACGTCTTTGTTTTTTTTTTTTTTTTTATATCCCCAGTTTTATTTAAAAGATAAATACAATCATATTCTTATTTCATAATTTACCAGTGAGGAGTTATAAATACCATGTTAACAAACCCAGAAAAAAAAACTGACATTATACAGGCATTAGATTCTGAGAAATGGATAAAATCTTAAAAATTGATGGGTGTACTAATAACTTCATTGTTGATATATATATATATATATATATATATATATATATATATATATAAACTTTAGGGGGTTAATGTGCATTATAATAATATATTCCTTCTGGGGAGGGTGACAAAAACACTAGCTATGCCACTGGTGTGTGTTTAAAAATCTGAAAATACTTTTGAAAATAATTTTGTTCTTGAAATACCTGCTGCATACAAAAATCCAATTCAAATTTATACCTCCTTAATTAAAATAGTAAATGTCCCTACAATATAGCAATCATTAAAAATTTAATTAAGAGCTTGCCTAATTTCCACACACACACACACACACACTGTTCTATAAAGAACTCCTGAGTAAGTATTAAAGTGTAATTAACAATGAAATTTCAAATTGTATAAGTGACCAATAAATTAAAATGAACCTGCAAAAGATATAACAATACAAAATTCGCAAAAAGAATTCTATTGTTATATATTGCAAACACATGTTTTTGATGTCTTTTGTGTGGAAAATAAAGTTATATTCCAAATAATATTCAACAAATTTATGATAGGCATTTTAAACTCTTATACTAATGTCTATCCAAATTTTATTTTTTTTAGAGACCTGAAAATTAGATTTGAATTAGAAACAGCTTACATTTTTCTCCAGTTCTATGAGTACAGAAAAGCTCATGAACATTTCAAATCCGCTTGTAAAATAGCCAATCTTGATGTTTCTTTGACAGGTAAATTTTTTGTTTCTTTGTTTAAAAAAATAAAAATAAAAAAACAAGTACTCATAATTTTTCATATCTGATATTTGTTCTCACTTGCAGTTTTTAAAGGAGTCATGAACAAACTATAATCCATTTGGCTTTCTGAATCTCGTCCTTAATTTCAAGAAGAAAATACCATTTATTAAAATTTCTATTGTTTTATTCCATTCTCACTTGTTCACTTGTACTCTCTCAGATATAACAAAATAGATAATGATTAAGTACAATGTTTCTTGAATTTTGTAACCTTTCATAGAAGGTAACATTTTCAGCATTTTAAAGCATTGGTGATTTTTACAAAGGAAGGTTATACATGTAAACATCTTTAGAAATAGGAAACTTTGATAATTTTTTTTTCCCCTGAAGAAGAAATATATTTTTGTTATAGTCTAATGAATAAATTAGAAATGAATCACACAGTAGTGTGTGTTAATCACACTGTCATCAGTGATAATATACTAAGACTTCATTTTTCATCATAGAAAAAAAAATCTTTTTTCCAAAGTAAAAAAGAAAAAAAAAATTTTAACACAGATGTTTACATCATATATAGTCTCCTGCTGCAATTTTTTCCTTCAAAAGTGCCTTCAAAGAAAAATGAATGTGAATTCTTTCAGTAGTGTGACCTGTCTTATATTTCATGTGGCACACTGGTTGAAAAAGTTGCCTATGCCTACTTTAGAGTCTTTGCTGTAATTTAGTGGTAGTTATGTGCCACTATTTAATCTAAACTCAACTTAAAATATTTCATTAAATCATGTAAATTTATAAGAATAGTTAACTTGTGCAAATGAAACCTTCCTAAAATTATTATATTTTTCATTATCAGGAGCTCTTGGTAAACGTACACGATTCCAAACCAAAGAAGTTTCTCAGATATTGCTAAGAGTAACCCGCATTCCTAAAGACAACAAAGACTGTGATCATTCTAATGACAAAGAGAATTCAGACACATTAGACAAATCCATGTTGCCAAAGGTTTGTTATATTTTGTTCTTTTTTTTTTTTTTTTTTTTGCTTATCTGTTTTTTTTTTTTCTATTTCAATATTAGTTGGATTTAAAGCTAATTTTTATTAAAATTAATTTTAGTTTAATATAATTATCAAGATAACTCTTCTAAATTAACCCTTTTTATAAGGTTTTTAAGGTTATGTTAGTTTGCTTATAATTTACTGTATCAGATATGTATTTAAAATTGCAGGTTAAGAATCATTCAAAACTTTTTATGACTGGTTACAGTAAATAATAAGTGTGTGTGTATATATATATATATATATATATATATATATAGTTTCAATGGAGGCCTATTTGCTATTAAACAAATTGAACCACCTATACTCCCTTGAGTGGTACTGGGATTAAGCAAATCATAAATAATACTTTGATATTTTTTGGGTACAAGAATGTGGCACACTAGTAATGATGTTCAAGACCAGCTTGTTATCTACAAAGAGGCACTCTACTTTGATATTTACATATTTATTATGGAATTGTGCAAAGAAAAAAAAATGTCTCTTTTTTATGTTTTTAAAACATAATAAATTGGGTATGGGCATTAAAATCTATGAAGGTTAAGGAATCTTTATGTTATAGACAAGTGTATGGTTGCAAGAAAGAAATACGACAAAAGCAGAAATAGATTTGTGATTTATTTCAATAGGAACGTGTGGTTTTGGGACAGCTACCTTGTGGTATAGTTCATAGGCCGTCTGAAGATCTGGGTTGATCTCTCATAGTAGTTCTCGCTGGTTGGCGTGGCGCTACTGCTGCTGCTGACCACTCAGCCTGACCGTGACAGGTCTCTTCCCTGGCCTCCTGTTGACTGCCGTTGTACTTCCGTGTGACCCCTTTTATGGCATTTTTTATGGCTTAACAGGCTCAAAAAATGACGTGAGTATAATTAGGAGGGAAGCATTTTTATTGGTCGAAAAATAGAAACACTTTAAAATATTATTTTATTTTTTGACTGGAACTCGTGTGTCGGGAACATGCGTAAACAAAGATAATGGTCATTTTGCGACGGGGCCTTGTCCTGTTCACATCTGGCTCTCGCTCTTGAGTATGTTAGTTTATTTGCCTGTAAATCAGCCGAGATATGTCTTATTTTATTTTATAACATTTAGAAAAAACAAAATGAAGAATGAAGTAAAGAGAACAGGTAGCTAGGCTAACAGGTTGGGAAGATAAATTCCTAAAAAGATATTGTCTAGGGGGCAAATAAAAAAATTGTTTGTATTTACATAAAGAATATTTGCATATGTTTTCTTACATGTTCACTTCAGACAAATGAAAATTTCCACAAAGAAGATTGATTGCATTTTCAATTTCACTATAAAATGTCAGATTTCTATATTACGTCTTTATACATCAATTCATATTAAGATAATACACTTTAATTTCACCTGGAGAAAAAAATTAAAAGATTTTTACTCAATGTTCTGTTCACTCCTGTTTCTCTCTTATCTAATTATGTCTGTATATGCATATTTAATCAAATTTATAGCATTATCATAGAAGCTTACAGAAATTAAAGTATTTTTCATAATTGATTTTCTTGTTCATTTATCAATTTAATAGAATATTGCTTGATTACTGAAATTACGTAATTTATAAGTGTGTACAAGCTTCAATGATCCTACCAAAAAGTAAAAAAATTTTCAGTATAAGATTTTTCTTTTCTTTGATCGAATGTGATAATGAGCTTCATTAGTGTCATACCCTGCTGGGAATATCAAATTCCTTTGTCATCAATCTTTTATTCTATCCTTAAGTGATATCCACAATTGCTTGTATGTGCTTACATAGATGATCTGTTAATGGATTGCATCCATCTTTTAAGGGATTTTGATTGCTAACAGTATCTATATTGCTTTTTTAGAACCTTGCTCATGATGACGATACTCTCTTGGAAAGTATACAATTCACAGATTTAATAATTGAACCATCAGTATACTTGACTCCCTTAGAGCAAGCAGTGGTACTGGGATTAATGTAAGTATAAATAAAACTTTGATATTTATGCATCACTGGTGTTTTTATAATTTTACAAGTACAAAATGGAAAAGTAGGGTAAAACTAGTGTGTTCTGATTTGAAAAAAAGAACAATGATGAGAGATCAAACAATAATATTGATAGAAATTGGATTTAAGTTGAAATTGGTATTTTTTTATTTCTTGGATCCACAGAATTAAATCTTATATTATCTTCATAATTTGAAACTACTTAAAGGAAGTAAGGTATGTTTGTACCTGTCAAAAAACAAGCATTAATTTGCATATGCAGTTATTACTTAGTCTAAAGTTAGAACTTTTAAAAGCAGCCATTTAAGAAATGTAAATGAGCCAAATTTTGTATTACATCATCATAGCCTGATTAAAAAAACAAACAAAAAAAAACAATGGCTTGCAAAGTACAAACAATGAATATTGGAAATCTTTTTATAGACAGCCTCTATCAAACATTAATTTAATGAAATGAGTAGAAATTCAAATAGCTATCTAACTTTAACAGAAAAAAATTCTCTATGAAAGAAAGAAAGAAAGAAAGAGACTTGCATGTTTGTATCTATTATTTCTATAGATATTTTTTTTAACTACATCAACTCTGGCCAAGATACTATTTATAAATCACACAATGAGAAATGACTGCATTATCAATGATTTTACTAATTAATCACTGCACAATGACTGATACCCTGGAGGTTTAGATCAGTAGTTCATTCCAGTTTGGGTGTGAGGAATGAGATGACTTGCCTCCTGCAAAGCAAATTTCCTTGGCATGTCAGGTCCTGTTGAAAGGTTGCAACTGCCATTCAAAGTGAAATGGATTATTCAAACATTCCAATCTCACGTGCAGATGTACAATGAAAAAGACTAAGAATTCAAACCAGCTTGAATTTATAAAAATAGGCAGTCTCGTGCGAACGAGAATTGAATAAGTCTCATATGCAAATATTAGTTCCCCCTGACGCAGGCATAAATAGCAAGTCTGTGAGGGGGATCGGGAGAACTTTTGTTGGTATGACGTCGTATGGACAGATGAAGGAGAAGGAAAAGGTCAGTCATTTGAAAGCAAGCACCTTAATCCATTTCAACTAAATTAACTACACTGGGTGCACCTTATGCCATAATTAAAAAATTCAACTATTATTTAATATTAATGTTTAAAATACTGATGCTTGGTAGTACATTCAAATAGAGATGTTACTATGTAAAAGAACTGTTTATATCCTATATCTTGTTCCACTTCTTCAGGGAAGATCGAAGACGATCTGAAGCAAGTCAGGAAAAGCTGACAAATGAACAACTGATTGCTTATTTATCGGTGAGTTTCAGATTTTTTTTTAATTTGATATTTATTTTTACTTAATTCTACATAAGAACCTGAAAAAATCTAATCAAATTTTTTAATTCTCTTCCTAAAATATTTTATACATGATTTAAAAAAAAAAAACAAAAAAAAAAAAACTAATGTTGAAGAAATGGTTAAAAAATACATTGTTATATTGCTAGTTACTGGGAGATCATTCTTATTACAACCAAATAGCATAAGAATGCACAATTACTGAAAAGAAGTATCTTCATTGTAATTCAAATATTAAAGAAAATAAAGAAACCTTTATAAGTATCCTGTATATTATCTGATAAGTTTAAGGGATGATGAATCAAACAAATCAATAGAGATCTAACTGTAACCCATATTTAGAAAATTAATAAAACTTTGTTAAACATTAAAATGTCAATGTATACCATTAGTTTGAAAAAAAATGTTTCTTGTTTTATTTTTATTTATTTATTTATTTATTTATTTAATTTTCAGTTTGTTCTGTCACAACCCCAGGAATGGTGTATTCAGACAACTGCTCTATATTTACGGTCATTCCTTGAAAAATCTTCTGCACGTATGCTTGACAGATCATTGAGACAAGTTGAGGTATAATTATTGACATAAAGTTCAATTTATAAATAAAAATTAAAATCTCAGTTTTCTTGCAGATTCATATGAAACAACATAAGAACTTTAAAATATTCTGTGAATGGCCATCATTCTGCCTTTATTTTGTGTTTTCATTTAGTGAAGATGACAAAACTAATTTATGAATGGAGGTGGATGATACTTGAATGTACCAAGGACATTCACCTTGATTCATTTCTATTCTCCAACATTACAACTTGTAGTTCCTCATTGAATCATAAAAGGCATTTTATTAGCAGTTATTTTTTTAACAGTCTGAAATATAACACATGTAAATAGACATCATTGTTTTACTCAGACTTGACATTTAATAAAATATTATTACCTAACAAGTGAATAATTTTAAAGGTCATTGAAAGATATTAAACATAAATTTATTTTTCTCCAAGAAAATGATTGTTTTTTTCTTAATCTCCAAATTAAGAACTTGCAGATGTAATATTGAAAGAAACATACTAATAACTGGTGCTATCATTAATCTTCTTTTTTTTTTTTTTTTATAGTTTTGTAAATTGTTACTTTTTACCAAAAAACAAATGTAAAATGTCAATTCATTATTGCCCTACATTCAAAATAAACAAATATTTGACAGTGTACAGTAAAATAAATTACAAAGTAACTTGTTTACATTTTTTTTTAAAATGGATAATTCTGGAATTTTTTTATATTTCTCTTAACTTTGATAATTTAGTTCTAATTTAGAAAAATGATTAGCATCCAGCAATTAGAGATTCTTAAAAATAATTTATAAGGGATTCTGAAAGTGTAAAAAAAAAAAATACAAGTAGCAGTAATATCGGTGAAAATTGACATTTTGCATAAAAATAATTTTGAAACTTCACAATTCTGACCCTACATAACCCAATAAAATATTTCCCTTTCAATATGCCCTGTCCTATCAAAATGATCTAACAATTAAGGTATAACTTTATTTTTATTATGAGAAAAATATTTTTTACTACAGAATAATGATCTCTTGTTGATTTCATGTTTATACCTAACATCTTTTACAACTGAATATTTTTTAGTTTATTTATGAGCAGATTATTTTTCATTAATTCTTCCTCTTCACCAAAGAACCATAAATTGACTCTTATTCTTAGAAATAGACAAATTGCTCATCTATTTGTAGTAGAAATAGAATTTTATGTTAAACTTGATAAATCTTTATTTGATGGTGAATGGAATGTTGTTTGCATTTGTTATTTGTATGAGCTTAAAAGTTCAGGAATTGTTAAATCTACTGAAAATTAATAAAAGCATTTATTTTTCATCTTTTCTAATAAAAAGTAAGTAAAAAAAATTAAGACTAATTAAGAATGTAAATTTCTAATCAAATCAATAATAATGATTGAAAATGTTTCATCCAATAAAAATAATACTGCAGCATAAACATTAATGCAAAGCATTAATTTTTTAACTGCATGGGTAAACTAATAAAATAATAATACTGAAAATGCTTCATATAAAAATGTTTAAAAAATTACACAATTATGTTTTATTTAAGTATTTGTTATTTTCTAGGAACTACAGACGACCTTGTCATGGGAGAAACCCCCTACTCAAGCACGTATGTCTTTGGTATACTGTACACAAATCCCATCATTTTGGGTATTGAAGGTAAACTGCAATAAAACAATTATTTTTCATTTGTGGCAAAATATGTAAAAAAAAATAAATCCCACTGGGCTTTAATAATTCTTGGCAATAGTTTGATTTCACTTTAAAAAAAAAAAAGTAATTAAAAGGGAAAAGATTTTAACATTGATTGTGCAGTCATTAAACCATTATGTAACTATTATTAAAAATTCTAATTATGTTTGTTAAAAATTGAATGTTTGAACAAAAAAACTGATTTTCAAAAGTGTCAGTGTCAGACTCTTGATTATATTAAGTTTTTCTCATATAGTTATATAAATCTATATAACTTTAAGTAAAATGTCAATAGAAATTTTATTATTAGGTTAATCAAGTAATGCTATATAAGCATTATGTATTTAGGTTGGCCAAAAACATTTTCTTTTTTTTCTGCTGTTAAATTATAATAGGAAGATTTAGTTTTAATTAACTTCATTCGAAAAGATAACTTTTCACTGTATTGTGACAGCTGCTGTATTAATGTGTATTTTGAAAAATAATTTGTCAAAATTGATTTTTGTTGATGCTAACATTGGAAATAGAAGAGACTAAGCAGTATTTTTAGCATATGCTTTTAAGTTGAAAATGCAACTCAAACAAAAAGATTTGTGCAACTTACAATGGAACATATTGACAACAGTTTATGAAGTCTCATGCTGGGATAATACTGAATAATATTCCACATTTGGGTAGAGAGCAGTCAAATCAGACATTGAAAATCATTTGTCCTAGCTTGGTTTTAATAGTTGATTTATGTATGGTTTCCATATAAATTAAATAGAATTCTATTTTGAATTACTTTTTTAAACAAACTGATGGGCAATGAAAAGTAGCTACTTTACAACAATGTGCAAAGTAAGAGGTCATTGAGCAAGCAAAATGAACAACTACAATGTAAGTTAATAATCAAAAAGTGTCTAGAATTTAAAAAATGACAATATACTATCAGAATGTTTTGAGACTGCATGTTTCTTAGGTGATCAGGTAAAATTTGTTGCATCTTGGCTAAGAACTTTATAGTTATTCATTGTATTCATGCTTGGATTATTATTTATTTCAGACCTTATATAATTATCTTAATGAAAATAAAAAATAATTTCTTGGAAGACTGCAAAAGACACTTTGGGCATTTCTTTTTCTCAAAAAGATGAAAAATTTGGGGAGGAAAAATTATGAACTTACCTGAAAGAAGCCAAGACAAAATATTAATATTGTTCAATGAAATTAATATTGAAAAAAATATATTATTTTTACTTAATAAACTTGTTATGATGTTGATTTGGGGTTAGTAGAGACAAACGCCAAATAACACGTAACAATAAAAAGGGTTTTAATAGGTTGGTAAAAAGGTACAGAAATCGCCTGAGTAGTCAATAACTAGCTCAGCTAAGAACTTTTCTGTCTATCTGTCTTCCCCATGTCAACTGACGTGCCACTATTTAAAGTCTTTGTTCACAGACGCAGACAAGTTCATCTTCAAGAGGGGTGGTAGGTTTCCGACACAACAAAACTAAACAAACTCAATTTTATGTTAAGTTTGCAAATCCACAGATCTGAAAAGAAATCATTTATTGTTCGAATTATACTATAAAAGTACTTCCTTTTATAACCAAAACCGAGCCTATCAACCTTGAAAACTATCAAATAATGTTGCAAATCAAAACCAAATAAGAATATTTTGTAATTTTACTATGACACAGATCTACTTCTCTATTTATCTTTAAGGTTATTGCATAATGAATGAATAAAATAGTTCTTACTTTGCAAATTCTTTTCTATTTCCAGAAACAATTGGCCATGTTACTACTGAAGTTGGGTGCCATTGGTTCAGCCTGTGACATTTTGGAGCAGCTGGAAATGTGGGAAAGTGTCATTGTTTGTTATCAACAAATGGGTAAAATGGAGAAAGTAAGTCAAATATTTGTAGCCTCAACAATTCTTTTACTAAAAAAAATAAAAAAATTAATTAACCTTACTTAATATAAGGATAATAAATTAGTTATGAAATTTTTAAAAACATTTTTTTAGAGAAAGCCAATCCCCTTTCTTATTAATAGTAGCTCTGTCTTAGCATGCATAGTATTAAAGAAATGTTTTCTGAATTCAAATTCTACTTATTGCTGTGTGTATTTAAAAAAAAAAAAAAACATAAAATAAAATTATATAATATAAAATAATAGTCCCTCTATAGAATGATAATGAAACAAAATAATAATGATTTATCTGAAGCATATTTGTTATCAAATTTAATTTTCCTCTGTCTTTCTCTGATCTTATTCCACTTTTCAGGTTAATTGTGTATTCTATTATAAAATAATTATTTTGGTATTGATTCACTGATTTCTTGGAGGAATTTTAAGTGTTGACTGAGATTATAACTCCAAGAATAATGAAAACAGATGTTATCATACAACAAAATCAATTAGTTAACTTCCTTGCTAAGAAAAAAGTTTTTCTCTTCCAGTGCATTATTCAAATGTTGTCATTCATTTTGTCTAGGTTTCTAGCAGTTTTAATAAACTTGAATTTCACAAGACAAAAACTTTTTCTCCCCTGTAGATTCCATTAGATTAAGACTAGCAGGAATACCTAGCATTGCTCAGAAGATCTCTGAATAATAGTTTGTTATTGACAATTTATTGATATTTTTCAGCCATTTTATGGAAAATAATTTTTTATTCAATCTTTAAAAAAATAAACTTCACTTTTTTTTTTTTTTTTTTTTTTTTTTTTTTTTTTTTTTTTAATAAAATAACTAAATTTAGGAAAATACTACACTGGGGACTTGGGGAGCTGAGCATCCCCATATTTTTATTTAAAAAGACACTTTATTTTTCAATTTAAATACTAACATGAATACTCTGTTAATGTTGTTTTCAAACAAATCAAGCTTAGATAAAAGTTCATTAACCTATTTTCAAATTTATTATTAATAAAAAAAAAGTTAATAAACTAAAATTAAGATATTAAACATATTTAATCGTTTTTTTCAAGTAAAAACCATAGTGAGTCTTATTTCATCAAAAAATTATTTACTATTTATTTTTGAGGGGAATTTAGATGTTTTTAAGTAAACAAAGTTTTACTTTTAAACATTAATTATTAACTATTTTGAAAGAGTAGAAACAAGATACATTGAGAATTTAGTTTTGAAAAGCAATTATGTTTAAATTTCAAGTCATATTTATATTTGAAAAGAAAAAAAAACTTAAATAAAAATTAGCCAAGACAGACATGACTTATGGTCAGCATTAGTCATGTTGAATTTAACTATATTGTATTTAAATTTAATTATTTGGAAAAATAAAGCTCACTATAGTTTTTTGCTTTAATAAAACTTAATTAAAAATTATTTACTTTTTATGTTAATTACAAACCAAAAAAACAATGAAGTTCATTTTCTAAAGATTGAATAAAAAAATGTTTTTCTGTAAGATGGCCAGAAAATATTAATAAGTCATATATATATATATATATATATATATATATATATATATATATATATATATATATTATACACACACACACACTTGAATATTTGAATAAATATTAAACTTTTTGTCAAGTAATTGTATTTAATATTCTTTTAAATTTACTTTGTTGTTTTAATAATTTTTTTAAAGTTAATCTTTTATTTACTATAGATGTGAAAATAAATTCAAGAGAATAGAAATTTAAAAAATACATACATGTAGAGTGTTTAGCAGAATAAAGAAGTAAAAACGAATGGTAATCATAATCTGGAATAAGAATTATTACCGTTTGTTTTTACTTTTTAATTCTGAGACTTTTGAATGTGCTCTAATGCATTTTAATTTTAAAATATCTTCATAAATACAAATTATACAATGATTTTTTTTTTTACAAAAAGCTGGCTTGTCTGTATACATATTTACTTTGTCATGAGGTATTGTAGTTTTTTAGTTTTAGCCAGACACACACAGACAACTGCCTTTTATATATGTATAGATGTTGAGGACTCTCCTGTATGTAGCCATGATTTCCTTTTGTAATAAATATGGTTATTAGGGATTTATTATTATTTTTTTTTTTTTGTTCAAAACATTTTTTTCTGTGTTGAGCAAGAAAAAAAAATGCTTTCCTAGCTTCAAATTTTTCCTGGGTTGCATAAATGGTCTACTTTTTTCAAATGATTGCACAAACAGTAACTGAGTTAGATTCAGACACTTCTAAGATGTCACTAATATACAAAAGTAACAACAGAAACATTCCTATCAATTTAATAGGATAAAAATTACCATGTGTCAAAAAAAAATGTTGCAGCTTCTGATAACAGATTATAAAAACTTTGGAAATTTTTAACGCCTTTTTAAAAAAAATGATTTTATTTAGGCAGAGACTCTGATTCGAGAACAGTTGGCCATCAAGGAAACTCCAAATTTGCTATGCTTCCTGGGAGACATCACCAGAAATATGGATTGCTACATTAAGGCTTGGGAATTATCAAATCACAAAAGTGCAAGATCCCAAAGGTGTCTTGGTTATCTCTACTTTGGAAAGGAAGATGTGAGTTTGAATTTTCTTTCAGAGTTACAAAGAATTGTATATCAGTTGATTTAAATGTTCAAAATGTTAACTAGATCTTGTTACAATTTATGCTACATCAAATATTGTGAATTTCCATATAAGTATTTCAAATGATGTGTAATCATTTCACTTGTTTGAAATCATTGCTGTTATTGAATATCTGGTAACAATTGTCACCAACCAAACACCATGGGCTGACAGCCACATCATGTTAAAACACCAATTCCTATATGGTCCCTGAAGTTAAGCAACATTAAGCCTGGTCAGTACCTAGATGGGTGACCACTTGGGATAACAGTTGCTGTAAGCCTGGATGTGTGGGTGGTGTAAAGGATAATATCTCAGAATTGTTACTTGAAGAAGAGTTTCAATTTTAATTCAGTTCGTTATATTCACTTACACATAAATACCTTTGGGAAAGGTGTGAATCCACCTTTCCTCCTCCTCCTCCCAGCTATGACTGAATTAGTAAGACTTATATCACTAAGCCATTATTATCTCCAAAAATAAAATAAAATTGCATACAAAATATTTAGATTTCAGCATTAGGTGTTGACATGTTGCTAATCAAAACCAACCAACCACCGACCATAGAATAAGTGAAACCTGAAATTTTTATAATAGTTAACAGTATAACCAGTAGTACTGGAAACTTTCTAAAGAATTAAGTTTACAAAATCCAAGAGTATGTAGGATCATAATTTACCCCTTAAAATTATTGAAAAATAAAGGTAGAGACACATGTCCATGTCAAAGAGGTCTTGCAAGAATATATATATATATATATATATATATATAAGAATCTAGCAAGCCTGAATATAATTTTTATTTGGCCTTATGAGAAATTACTTTTTTTTTTATTGAAAGTATTTATGTGGTAATGTCTATTTCAAATATGAAAACAAAATTCTATGATCCCAAAGGCATTTATTTTCCATTTTCATAATAAAAAAAAAATTATTGGGCAAAATTCCAGATGTTTTGCCTTTGATTGATATAATTAATCAACTTTGTGAAACACTTGAAAATGTAAAGATTTTAGCAAGTGAATCCTTATGTTTACTTATCCCTGATGTAAGGTTGTGAATAATTAAACAGCAAATCTTTTTCAAGTTTATTAAAATCAATAAGTGAGAAATAAATGAAATAAAATTCTGAAGTAAAGACATATTGAAATTTTATCAATGAAAAAAAACTGCAATTGTAAATAATAAAAGATTTAGTTAAATTTACATCTTATTTTTACAGTGGGACAATTGTTTGGCTTGTTTTGAACGATCACTCAAAATTAATGCTCTTCAGGTAAATTAACATTTCTCTGTTAACTGATTGTTTTTTTTTTTGTATTTATTTGTTTTTAGTTTGTGTGTCTTTTTCTTTCTCATGTTAATATCTTTAGGCAAATTATTGACTAATATATACTTAAATTTTATGCAACTTTACCATACTGAAAAGTATTGTAAAGTTGCACATTTAACTTAAAAGATAATTAAATATTGTCCAATAATTTCAAAATATTTTTGAGAAATGATTAGAAATCATTTATTATTACCATTTGCTTTTTAAATGTTTTTTTTTTTTTTTTTTTTTTTTTTTTTACCCATTTCTTGTTGACTCAGAGAAATGTGGCGTGAGGAGTCTCCAAAATTCCCAAATATAATTAACAAGAGGCCATTGAAAAAAATAACTTTCAAAAATAAAACCAAATATGGTTATTAGATATGTTTAAGGACTTATTTTTGGGGCCAATAACTTTTTAGTACCTATACAGAAGAGATAATGTTACAAATGTATATCATTTTTAGTAACTATCTGCAAATCTGCTCCTCTATAGCTTTTAAAAAAAAAACTAAAAAAAAAAATATAAAATGTATTGCAATAACTTAAATAACTCCTAAAGTGTAAACTTTGGTTTTAATTGTAAGAAAAGAGTACAAAGCTAGTTGTGAAAAAATATTTTGTATACTTAAAGCAGCTTTTAGAGTTTTTTTTTTTTTTTAATTTTTATTTAAAAAAAAATCTTGTTCATTGGGTTTTATTAAACTTTACATGTCTCAATTATTAAAATACAATTTTAATTATTAACATTTTAGAAGGCTCCAAGGAAAGTAATAAAGAATTTTAATACATTAACATATTTTTTCTTTTCAAATTTCTCTTATTTTTATTTCCAAACTCGGAGCATATTTTCTGTCTGCAATTAGTTTTAATTAAAATATCAACTGTTTTAATCTCTTCAGGGACTTAGAAAATTAAAAGTATTTTTAATGTCAAAAAATATGATTTCATAATTAAATAAATTGACATAAAGAAATTATTTCCTCAAAATCTTTTTATAAAATAAATACTGAAAATGATAGATTTTAAAAATCTGTTTTTCTTGCATTGACTATAAAATTAACATTTATTAAATTTCAGGGCATTTTTTCTTTTCTTTTTTTTAATTTTTCCTTTTTTTTTTTATCACATCATTTTTTCATTGAGAGTACATGGAGATGTATAATACTTCTGTTGACCTTTTTGCATATAGGTACCCCTATGGTTTACTTATGGTTGTGCTTCTCTAGCAGCTCAAAAATATGACTTGGCTGTTAAGGCCTTTCATAGATGTGTGATGATTGATTATGATGTAAGCATTATTTTTTATATATTTTTCTTTTTAGCAAATGAGTTAATTTTGTTTACACATGGTATGCAGAAAAAATTTAACTTAACCTATTTACCAAAATCAGTTCTGATGTTAGGTAACTGTAATACTAGTATGTAAGTCCAAAACCTTTTCAGTACCAACTCATATGTATGTATGTCTGTCTCTTATATATATATATATATATATATATATATATATAATTAAGATGAGTAAATGGTTTTCACTTAGCTAATTGATGTTACCTTCAGCATCCTAACTCCAGAGTTTAGTAAAATACATCTATTGGATGCTTTAGTACATATCATCAGTTTGAATGTATGTTTTGAAGCATGCAATTTTGTGATACTAGAGTTCTTGTTCAAATCGATCAAGTGAGAAAACAAAATTCTAACTTGATCGATTTGAACAAGAGTTCTAGCGTTGCGACATCACACACTCCAAAACATATATTCAACTGTCAATAAATAGCATAATTTTAAAAAAAAACATCTTTCAGTCTACATATATTTCATCTTAGTGTTTGCCTGTGTATGGGAAAATTGTGCCCTGAATATTCCAATATGAAATTGTCGAAAGTACTTGGCATGTGTTTTCCATCTGACAACAACTGAAATATAAGGATGTTATTATTCAAGGAATTGATAGTAAGTTAATGTCCCATTAAGTCTTGTTAGCAAAGTGATTTTGCCATTAATCATAAATCTGAAAAAATATCATTTTCTATCTGCTTCCTTATATCAAAAAAATTATGAATGAAATTTATAACATTTATTGATATTGTTATTTCATATTTTTCCATTCAGGATATTATTCATATCTTATACAGACAATGTTTCAACTGTTGTATCCTCCAGCCATTTTCAGAAGTTTGTCATACTCAGAATGCAAACAAACTACCCTCATGGATTGAACTAAGGGATTGGTTTAAAATTCCAAGAATCTTACTAAGTACAATAGACTTCTTATACTTACAATGTTTTAGTTGTTATACCAGCAAGAAAAACATTTTAAGTATAACAACCACAATAATTATGCTGGTTTGACTATAAAAGATGCATACTATGATAATTACTCATTTCAAAATTTCCTACATAAATATATTAATGTTATCTAAGTAAAAAAAAAAAAAAAAATAAATAAAAACAAATGTAAAAACTAGTTTAGTACCCAAGGCAATACTATGATTATAGATATTACCTTGTTAGTACTTATGATTATTCAACATTTGTTATTCCTTAATTTCCAGGTTTAAACTAAAAGTATTGTTTTACTAAAACATTGACATAAAATATTAAGTCTTAAGCACATTCTTGATATATATTTTTTATTACACTTCTTTTATTATTCAGAATTTTAATTTCTAACAAATAACTTAACAAATAGAAATTTTAAATTGTTCACATTAGATTTAACATGGTTACACCTACAAATTGATGCTTAACAATTCTATATAAACATTTCAATATTTTATGCTAGCATATTGTTCATCTTTGATTTAGAGATGCTCAATAAATTACTTCAAAATAATAAAAATTAGTTTAAGCCAATGTTTAGTAGGTAAAATTACATCACTTTTGTTAGCTTTTTCACCTTTGCTTTTCATTCCTGTAGTGAATGAAAAACTAAAGCTTATATCTTGGACATGGATATCAAGAATATAATCTTTTTATCTAATGTTTTGGAGAAAGACTGCAATTTGGATGAAGAGTGGAATAGGAGATTGCTTGCATGTCCTTCATTGAATAATTTTGAAAATACTTGTTTATTGGAATGCTTCCTAAAAATGCTTTTATTATTTTTCCAAATAGAGGAAAATAACATTAATACTCTCTTCTATTCGTCACCATTTTTTATTATTTATATTGAAAATACTTTAAATGTAAACAAATATTTTCTGTCCACAATAATGAAATTTACTCAAGATAATCTCTAATTCTTACAGAATTATGAAGCTTGGGGAAATCTGGCTACAGCTTATGTGAAATTGAAGAAAAAGTAAGACACTTACTTTCTTTATTATTTTTTTTTTTGTAGTTTAAGTTGCAAACTGATGCTCACATACTTTTTATTATATATTTTAAATTTAATTTTTTCCCCTTTTTATTTATTTATTTTTAAACAGGAAAAAAGCTTTTACTGTACTCCAAGATGCTATAAAGTGTAGCTATGACAATTGGATGCTTTGGGAAAATTATCTCATTGTAAGTTCTTCCTTTGACTATTCTGACTGTTACATGATATCCTGAAAAAATAATTTGTTGTAAGCATTTTCTCTTTTATTTCTGCATATAACTAATTGCTAAATATTGTTAATTAAAGAAGCATTGATGTATTTAGAATGAAAAAGAAAAAGATGAAACAAAACTATATAACCCAATTTTAAATATTAAATGGTACCATCTTACAGCTTTCAATCCCTGTCACCTCTATACTTAATGGTTTATAAAAATGGTAAGATTATATATGCATCATTACATTTAATGTTTAAATTTTATGAAGAGTTTCTACCTTTTATTTTGAATTTGAATTTTTAACTTGATTTTTTTTATTTATATGTATTCTAGTAATAATCATCTTTTTATCTCATTCAGATAAATTGAAGTTACTTTAGCTTGAGTACATTTAGAAATGACTTCCCTAATAGAAAAAAATGTCAGCTAATACAACTTCAATTGTGTTGATTATTATACACTAGTCTATTCAGCTAGGTTGTTATATAAATGAACAAAATGAAAATATTGAACTGATCAATGTATAGTAATAAGTTTTCATTTTTAGAATTCAGACCAAAATTAATTGTTGCATTTTTCTCTCCATGTAGATTGGCATTGATTGCGGAGAGTTCAGTGAAGTGATTCGAGCATATCACAGATTGATGGATCTTCGAGATAAGTGGCTGGATATAGAAGTAAGCAAATCTTACTGTTATTTCAAGCAAAGCAAATTTTAAACTTGGCAAGAGAGCTTTTTGTAAGAAAAAATAAAATACATGTTAATGTAAATTCTTAAAAAGCTTTGAACTTTGAACATTTCAGGTGTTCAGAAATGTGGGCTTGGTAGATACAAAATTCATTACTTAGTTTTGTAGTTAAAATTATTAACTAGTATCAACTCAAAGAGGAATTTCAGATAAATGTTGGAGCATAGATTCCAAGACAATTGTCTTATACTAAATTCAATATTTCAAAGTGTGACGATAGATATTTGCACTTACCTGATCACAAGCACCCAAGGTGTCTGTCCTGCTGAACCACCATTTATGAGAGGTCCAAGATGTTGAGCCTTTTTATGAACGTTGGTCATTTCATGTGAGGACTGATGGTAAAGGGCAGAGAAAAATTGAAAGTGGAAGCAAGCAGGCATGAGATTTCTTTTTTGCAAAGACTGTACTATTCATTAACATGACTACAGGAATTAAATAATAAGCTATTTCGACAGAAATGGATGGCTGGTTCAACCTGAAAATTATTCCCAAATTTGACAAGACTGGAATTGTGACTGACTGGATCAAGAAGCTGAAATTGGTGTGACTTATTTTGGGTGAAGTGGGCTTGATCAGGTCATCCCTCTTTGCTTAATTGGGGGAACGTTTGTGATTTATCAACAACTGACCAAGGTTGAGAAATTGGACATGGCCCAAATCAAGGAAGCACTAATCACCGCCATTGCTACTGATAGATTCATGGCATACAGGAAGTTTGAGGCATGTGTGTTGTATCTTGGCGAGACTGTAGATGTGTATTTGGTGGATTTGCAAAAGTTGATGATCCTTTTTGAAAGAATCCCAGGTCATGCAATGGCATGTGTGCTTGTGCAGGGGCTTCCTGTCCCTATGAAGAGGCACCTATGGTCCTCTAGGATGGATATGTCTCTTGAGGAGCTGTTGGCCTTAGCATGGGCATTTATGAAGGACAAAGCTGCAGTGTAGGAACCAGTTGTTGCTGTGGTGCAGCCTGTCCGAATTGCTCAAGTGTCCACAGCCATGAACCTACCTGTTACATGCTAAAAGTGCAATAGTCCCCTTTGTGAGGGACTGTGTGTGGAGAGGGCAGACCACTATTGGTGCAACAAGACCAGTCATCTGGTCAGAGATTGTCCAGGAAACAAAATTGAGAATGAGACGTCAGTGCCTGTTTATTCCCCAGGCAGCAGGTGAACTCAGCAATACCTATCATCACTGTCTACATTGATGGCACACTATGCTTGGATCTCTTCAACTGGGTGATCATGTTCCATTCTGAGTGCAAAGCTATGACAGTCTTGATCGAAGTAGGACATGGTGGTAACCACATTAACTGGAGCCATGCAGGTCTGCTGCAGAAGTGGCCCCATTAGGATTCACACAGCAACTGGTAACACTTCCAAGATCAATGTGCTGGTTATGCAAGGGAAGCCTCTGGATTTCAATCTATTTCTTGGCATCGATGCCATTAAGGCACTCGGCAGCATTCGCATCACACAGTCTGGAACCATGAAGTTTGAAGAAATATGGCTCATCTGTGCAACAAAACTGATTTTAGTGCAAAATTCGAGCAGCAGGGAGTGTGGGTTGCAGCCTGAAAGTGGTCAGCGGGTTGTGCACCAGAAAAACTTGAGAACAGGGTCTCTGAATATCCAGTGTCAAGCAAATTGAGGGAGGAATATGAGCATATGAGCATAAGTTGCAGACCTGGATGGACAACAGTTGACTGTTGCCGTATATTGATGAGGGGTTTGGTCCACCTGACCACCAAGGGCCACCAGCCTGGTACAGAGAGGAGGACTCAGAGTGAAAAAATCCCCAGGGATGGTGCACATTGAAATTTAAACCAGGTTGTGTTACTGGGATAACCAGTCCACAGTCAGTAATCATCAGCGGTATGCCTCGGCATGTGGGGAATGTGCGCCCACAGCTCAGTTCGAGGCTGCCAGTTGAGAGCAATCCTGTATATAAGATATGCCTTGTGTTAGGCAAATTGCCATGGGGTTTTGTATAATTTGTTGGTATGATCATATTTGATGCGATATATATTAATTGAATTATTGAAATTATTGCTGTAAACATTAGAATTTATATATTATTTTTATTCTCATTACATTCGAATATATATATATATATATATATATATATTCTAGTTTACTCTATTAAAACTAATACCTCTTTTCCTTACAAATTATACACCTAAAAAATGACTCAACCAAAATATAACACCAAAAGGATTAAGATCAATAGTCCAAGCAACACTTAAACAAAGATTCACTTGTCTACTTCACTCATTTGATCTATTTCTGTCTTTTTTTCCAATTATGATTCTTGTAATCATCTTCAGCCAAATTAGATCATTGATTTTAATTTTTTTTTCTTTATTTAAGATATTACCTTATAGCAAAACAAGATAACTGTATGATCCAATCAGATTAGAAGTTGTTTGCAATCCTGAGATAATTGTTTCTTTGTACATTCTCATGTTACTTGTTTCATGAACAACTAATCCATGTAAATTATTGTCTTTATTTGGCTACAATGTTAATTAGTTATCAAAGGTTTTGCTTAATATCAAGTGTGGCATATTCTGTTCACTATAAGTGAAAGATATCCAATCAAAAATGAAACTGTTAAAACAAGAAATATGGCATGTTGTAGTGATTCCACTACCCCCCATACACACACACAAGACATATTTTGTTGTAAAGTTAGCCATAAAAAATAAAATATATACAAACCATTTACTAACAGAAAAACAATTACATTATGCCTGAATGTGTAATATTTATGCACTTAAATAATTAAATGCATTCTTTTTTAATTCATTATTTTTGTCAACAACTTCACAAGCAACTAAACATATGCTCCCTCTCTGTAGAAAATCTTTCATTTTGTGTTAATATTTTTAATTGGTATTTTCTGTAAAATTTTAGGTTCTGACTATTTTAGTACATGCCATTAAAGAAAATCTCCCAGATGCCAAGTCCAAACCAGCTGCAGATTTGTTGCCTAAAGTCCTTGAGTTGTTTGGTCGAATAACTTCCAAAGTGAGTGCCTATATTTCTCAATTGTCAGAAAGTGATTATAATAATTATTAATACAGAGAATGTTGTGCTTTCTACTTCTTGCTTCTGGATTTGTTATATTGTACAGCCAAACATTTTAGAATCGGAGGTTGCTGTGTTTGTCAAACATAGTGAACCTCTACAGCTAACAGAGAGTGCTTTAAGAAAATGTGTATGAGTAGATTGGTCTGAAGTGACTGGTAAGAAGGTTTCCTTAACTATCAAGAGTAGTAAACCTCTACAGCAAGCAAAATAATTGCAAATATCTATACTTAAAAAATAGCAAACATATGGGAATGTTGCAATGATACAAGAGGGTAAATTGACTAATGACTGACATGACTTAACACTCTACATGTGTGTCTGATAAACCACTTCAGCTTTATTATCAAATACAAATAACACCTGTGTTTGACAGGGTAAAGATTAATGACAGGTAAGGAAAGGAGATGATCTGACACCTTTGACAAGTAACTTCAAGGTGGAGGTTTCTGGGTAACCCGAAAACTCCTGTCCCCTCTTCAATAAACAACTGCAATCAAAAATAAAATGAATAATTACATGTGGAAATAAATTTTTAAAAAAAAGAGAGAGAGAAGGCAAAAAGAATGTTCTTTTTGCAATTTTAATATTACATCATAAAAACAAATTTTCTGAAATTTCTTTCCTTTCAATTTTTTTAATATTTCAGATTACATCACATGATATGGTGTGGAAACTCTATGCTGATTTGGTCTCTTTACAAAAAGATTATGATCCTGAAAAGGTATTATAACTTCCTATTGTAATTTCCTCTATACGTAAAACTTAGGCTATTGCCGTAACACCTGTATATTTAGTATGAAGACTGACTCCAATACATCCTTGTATGCTCTAAAGAATACTTATCAATGACCTTGAAAATATTAATGTCGCTTTTATTAACCGTTCATGATTTTTGACTTGACAATAATTTGTCGAACACCAATTTTACTTTTCTGGCAAACATTAATTCTGCTGGCGACATGCTTGATGGTGTGTTGAGGTTAGGTGTTAACCGGTACACTCTCTAAAAAATTTTGAAGTGCCCCCTCATTTAATTTGTCCAGGCTTGCTTTTTTCATCACTCTTTTGAACGCTCACACAAACCATTCCGCTTGTCCATTAGACCTTGGGTGATATGGTGGGATCATAATATGTTCTATAAAGAACAACCTGCAAAAGTCTTGAAATTCTTTTCCAGTGAATTGTTTTCCATTATCTGGTATGCCATATCTTGCAAACAATTCATGCAAGAAATTCACTGTCACTGAGGATGTAGGATTTTTGCACTTGTAAAATTCCAGCCATTTCGTAAAGCTATCAACTACCACTAGACAATATGCTCCATACATAGGACCTGCAAAATCTGTATGCAATCTTGACCACAGTTCTATCTTTGTGATAGACAGTTTTGCTGTTAGAGTATAATTTCTACATACTTTACTGTTCTTTTTGATATCTTGGTCCATTCTGGTCCAATATAAAAAAACTTCTCATGAAAGATTTCATTCTTGAAATACCAGGATATCCAGAATGAAACATCCTTTAATATACATTTCTCTAACACACTCCGTATTACAATTCTTTGTCCATACATTACAATACCATTGCATATCAAATACATGTTCAGTTCTTTGTTCTGTTCTTTTTTAGTTTCTTTTAATTGCTTTTTTATTTTAGCAATAAAGACATCCTTTTCTGCTTTTTGTTTAATTTCATCCAGTGTAACTGGCAATTCCCATACCACTTTGCACAGAATGTTTTTAACTTCCATCTCTCTTTTTAGCGCTGATATGATCATGTCCTCCAATGGTTTCGCATTTTCAGCTATTAACCTAGATAATCCATCGACATGTTCTAATGTCTTAGATAGTTGGTATTCCATCATAAAATTATAATTTAACAGGATGGTACCCAAGCGTTAATGTTAACTCGCTGGATAGGTATACCTTTCTTTGAACCATATATTACTAATAATGGTTTATGGTCTGTTTGCAACTTGAAATTTCTTCCATTAATAAATTTATGGATTTTTTTCATAGCGAATATGATTGCTAAAGCTTCTTTCTCTATCTGGCTGTAATTCCTCTCTGCTGGTAGAAGCAAATGTAAAGCATGAGCAAAAGCTTTCATTTTACCACCATCGTATTTGTGTAAAATCACTGCTTCAGCACTGTAATCACTAGCATCTGATGCTACTACAATTTTTGCTTTTGGATCGTAGTGCTCAAATCAGATTTAAGACATTTTATCTCATCAAACACTTTTGACATTAATGATCCCAATTCCACTTTACTCCTTTTTTCAATAGATTAAGTGGAGCTGTCAATTTATGTATATTATGTACATAAATTTGACAATAATTAGTCAATCCTAAAAAAAGCTTGTAATGTAGTTGGTGTAGGCATATTTCTAATTGTATTTGCCCTTGACTGATTTGGTTTCCTAACATTTTTATCAATTTGATCCAGGTATTTTATTTTTGGCAAAAACAATTCACATTTTTCTTCACTTAAGCTTGAATCTGTATTCTCTTAGTTTTTGCATTATTGTTTTGACATGCCCAACATTTTCTTCTTTTGACACACTCTTGATCAAAATATTGTCCAGATATGCCACTGCAAAATTGCAATCTGCCAGCATGGTATCCATGACTTGTTGAAAAATAGCTGATGCCATCTTTTATAACAAAATGAAGTCGATAAAACTTATTTAACCCTCCATGTGTATTTATGGTCGTTAATTCAGAAGATTGATTTTCAATCTGAATTTGAAAATATGCTTCAGAGAGATCAAGCTTTGAAAATATTTTTCCGCCATTCAACTTTGAAAAAAATTCCTTCTTTTTTGTTAATGGGTAATTGTGTTTCAAGACAACTATTTAATCCTGTCAAAAAATCTGTGCAAAAATGAATTTTGTCATCTTTTGTTTTTTTTTCTTCATATACATCACTGATGCAGCCCATTTTGAATGGTTAATTTTCTGCAATACATCAATTCTTTCTAGTCTGTTCAACTCTTCATTTACTTGTTCTAATGCTATGAATGGTAAACTCCATTTCAGGTTAAATACTGGTGTCAAACCTTTTTTTTTTTACTTGAAAATTCACTCTGAATTTTGAACACCAACAGAACATCAGGAAAACATTTTTTTAATTCTCTTTCAGCTTGTGTGACATTTTAAATTTGTCACTTGTTCACTTACATTTTTACAATAAGTGTTTATCAGCAAATTCCACAGTTTGAATAGTTCCATCCAGTCTGTACCTAATAAATTTGTCACATTTATTAGAATATAAACTTCTGTTTTTTTACCTGCTTATTTTGAAAATAATCATGTTAATTCTCCCAAAAAAATAATTTCTTGCCAGAAACTGAAGTTGCTACAGTTGCTAAAACAATCACAAGAGTTGTTGGAATAATGTTTCTTATGCCAGATGTGGTGTAAAACACTATCAGAATTTGTATACAATCCTGATGACGGACTGACTTTTGCTGTGTATTTTCGCATGCATGAAGAAATATTTAGTGAAGAATGCAGTAGCTGGGAAGAAGATAAAGAAACCAGGTGGTTGTTAATAAAATTAGCTCCAATAATGAAAAATACTGCAATCATATTTTACTGAGAAAACCAGGTGAAATAGGGTTTGAAGATACAGTACACATTCTGATGAGAATTGTGTGTACCATCAACAGAGAATGTGAACAATTTAAACTAAAGGAAATGACTCCAGATATACTCAAGGCATTAATTTTGGTGCAAGCTCTAATAGCAGAAAAAGATGCTGAAGTCTGAACAAAAAGTGTTAGCAAAGATTGAACATAATAATAACATAACACTACAGAAAATGGTGGACAATTGCTAAACAATGTCAAGTCTGAAGTATGATGCTGAAAAACTTCAGAATAAAAAATGTGCATTGGTAAAAGTTAAGGGAAAATGCACAAAAAGGAATATAAAACCTTGTTTCAAATGTGGAAAATTACATCTTGGTAAAGACTGTCAATGGAAAAATGCAGAATGCTATGACTGTTGTAAACTCAAAATTTCTTAAGAGCTAATATTTATAATTTGTAAAAATGGGAACATAAGAAATTTTGAAATTATTAAGCCTTTTTGTGTGCAATTCAATATTTTGATATTGAAATTAAATTATAGTGCATGCAGTATTCATTTTAACTTCCTTATCTAATTTTTTGAAGTTTATGTATTTTTAATTTAAATTTTACTTACTATGCTGATATATAACTATTCAATATAAAGTAGTTAAAATCTTGCAATAAAATAAATTTAATTTAAATAACTAAATGTCTTTGTATATAAAGAAAATGGGCAGTTCCCTTTTCTCAGAGTATTTTTCTGTTAATCCAGGAAGTAAAAACTACCAGTAATATTAAAGTTTATATGATTATAACTTCACTTACCCACTTATCAAATAAAGTGTCACAAAAAATGAGAATTTGTGATTAACAGTTATATTAAATTTATATTACAAATATTGAAATCAGTAAATTATAGTAAATCAAAATAAGCAAATATGCCACTTAGTTTGAATTCACTTTTTAATAATCACCTTCATTTGTTATTTTCCATTACTTTGGAAGAAATAAAAAAAAATAAAGGGCCTAAAGTAAAAATCATTTTAAAGGAGACAATTCTAAGATTGAGACTTTGAAAACATTGTTTTTCTTACTCACTACAAGCTTTTTACAATAATTTTTATTTATTTTAGGTTGTGTTGTACTTGCAAAAATCCTACAAGTGTGCTACACAAAAGCAAGGATGGGAAAAAGAAATTGATAAATGTCTTGAGAATGGCAAGAAGGCAATAGAATTGGCTGATGGTAAATATTCAAATTAAGATATTCTAAATTATCTTATTATTTTCAGTGTATTGTTCACAAGTGAAACATTTTCTGGTTTAGACTCTAATGACACAATGAAAGTAGAATTTCCTTTTTTGTCATTACAAAATTAACAATTCAGACAGAACTTCAAAGCTAATTTACCTTTAATATGCTTTTTTTTTAATCAGAAATAAATTTTTAAATTTAATCCCTGAAAATTAAATGATCTAAAGTTAACTGTCTGGACACACAAATATATAAAACTGACATCAAATAAATGCAGTTTTATCATTTTATATTTACCAGGATATGCAAAATGTCTTGCACAGTTTATCAGTTGTTGCTGAATGAAGATAATTAATTTGAAAATTCAACTTTAAAAATAATATTTAAAAAATGTGCTTTTGTATTAATTTCCAATTTGCTCTTTCAAGATCTTTATAAATAATCAATTGTGTTGTTGATTTTGTAATTAAATTACTCAATTATTAAAATAAAGCTATTCACTGTCTTGGAAATGGTAACCACATTTTATATCACAATAACAGGGGCACCTTGATGGCTCTTCTGCTCTCATGTTATGGAAGCTAAAAAGAATGCTGAATTGCCCTGCTGGATATGAATTTGGTACCTAATGCATTGAATGTGATTAGAGCAAGTGTCATTTGTCTTTTGCCACCTCAAGCATGGCCCACTAATATATATATGGCCCCCAGATGTCACATTTCAGGCTAATTTCTAACAGGCCTATTTGGTTTATAGTCAATTTATTTCTGTTTTATGTAAAACATGTTAAAAACCATCCAAAAATACAAAACACGTTTTTTTTTTCTCTTTTTAAACAGAAAAGTAATAATAAAAGATTGTAAACAAACAAAAGTTAAAGAGTTAAGAAGTAATACAAAAGAAATACAAGTAAAAAAAAACTTATCAACTGTTTCTCTATAAATCAATTTTCTTTTGACTGCCTTTTTTAAAACATTCTACAATATTTTTTTTCAAACTTCATCCAATGAAAACTTTCGTTTGTTGTTGTAAAATATATTCACAACAGTTTTTGCTGCAAAGTGAATTCCTTTTTCAGTGTGTTATTCACAAGTTAAAACATATTTTGGAGAATGATTTTCAAAAATTCTTTCAGTAGACTCTCTTTTAGTCGATGTTTTACAATAAATTTATCTGCATAGTCAAGTATAGCAAAACAAGCACAAACAAATTCTGCCATTTGGCTAAATGGAACCGTAAGTCATAGTACTGCTTCTCTGTAGCGTCATCACTATTATTGCCTACCATGACCATTTCATATTGAAAACGTTTAATTTTTTGAATTTTTCTCTAATAAAGAAAAAGATGGTAATAGAAATTTCTCCAGAAGTAATTTGCAAGCTTGTTGAGATTGTATAGTGCAGTAGTAAGACATAATGTATTAGTTCTGCAGAAAATGAAGGATGACCTCTTGGTTGATAATGTCTTTTTTGTAATTCTTCCACTACATTTTGTATATAGTTTGGAAAATTTTCTAACATGCTAACATCTTGTGAGTTTAGCATTATGTCCATGTATAAACCACTGGGGTAACAGTTTAGGGGTTCCATCACACTGGAGCTGGACATGAAGGTTTTAATCAATGTGAATACATTCTTTTATAGATTGAAAATGTGCTTCAGAGTCAAAAACTATTCTATAAATTAGAATATAATCTTCCTTTTTTTCTTTTTTTTTTTTTTTTTTTTTTTTATAAATTCAAAACCATTAAGACAACACTTTACTTCTTCCAACTGAGTAAAATCCTTTATCGTATCAACTGAAATAAAATCATGTAATTCATCAGTTTGTACCAGTCATTGTTTTGGAAGCTTTCTGAATTCCCTTGTATTTGGCGAAAGAGATGGTTTTATTTTTTCTTTTGAATGTATTGTAGGTATTGGATGTAAATCCCAATTCAATTTGTTTCGTTTGGATTTCAAAATTAATTTCTCTTCAAAATGTTTCATACAGAGAACTGAATTTTTCATAGGAAACCAATCAATACGATTAACAAATTTTATCCATTTTTCTACAAGGTTAGATTTTCCAAAATGAAAAAAAAATATTGATACTTTTTCACTGTTAGTAACATATCCACTAGAACAGCCAAATGCAACACATTTGTTAACCAAAATATCACAAGAAACTTTAAAACTTAATATTTAAATGCAATGGACAATGAGGTAGAAAATTTACCTAATAGCGATCATTTGCAAAATGGGCTGTATACGTAACTGAAAATCATAAAAGCGAGGTCACTCACAGCTGTTTATAATTTATGAATTAGTTTTTAAAAAAAAAAAAAAGTGTAAATATGCATTTTAGTGTTGAAAACCAGTCCAGGGAATTGAAATAACTTCTGATAAATTCTACATATCTGAATGTTAATTTACAATCTCAGAATTCAATTTTTAAAGTTACCTCCCTTTTAGATTAGCAATTTTCTAAGTTGACAATTCAATTCACATTTTTTTTTTGTTTACATTACATCAGCCTACTAAAATTTAACTTATGTTACATGTGGGGCCGTATAATCCTAGTTGGACATGCTTCAAATCACAATCATTAAGGACTCATGGTTGGCCTCTATTCTGTCCATCAGGTATACATGTGATATAGATCAAGAGATGTCAAATGTTCCCATACTTTCAAAAATGAAATATCTCATCTGCCTGGCACCTACTATCATGACCCATTTTTAAATTTGATAATTCATGTTGCTTGACTAACTGGTGTTCACATGATATCACAGCACAATTGATGTATAACTTGGTATTTTTGTTGTCATTGCCTTTACTTATTGCCTCCTCCCCATGTTAGTGTATAAATTTAAGTTGATATATTTTCTTAGTTTAAACCAAACGCTCTGGTGATACAAAATTGATTAAATGTTTTGGGTTTAGGACATGTCTGTTATGCCATATTTTAATTATTCTTGAAACTAGTCTACCATAAAATATTTGAATAGAGCAAATTTGATATAAAAATAATTTGTATTACTCTAAAAAAAAAAAAAAAAAAATGTTATGGTTGGTTGTGTAACTTTAATCAAGAAAAATTGAAGCAGTTTTAATGGTTTTAGATACTAATCTGTGCTAAACTCATGACATTTTGTTGTGTATCAATAAAATAAATATATAGGTAATCTGTGTCATTTGATTATGAACCAAAGTTCCGTCTGTACAGGAATTAGGGAATTGCTGATTTTTTTTTTTTTTTTTTTTTTTTTTTTTTTTAAGATTGTGACTGTCGAGTGAACTGAAGTAACCAGCATGGAGTTATATATTCTCTCCACCTCTGCATTTACCAAATTTAATTTATATCATTAATGTAGAGTTTTGCTACAGCACTTTTCAGTTTACTCAACAGAAGCGTAATTTTTACCCAAAACGTTAACTGATCATAAACTTGTATTTATACTGCCAGGGTTTTGTGAATCTGATAACTATTTATAGTATTTGATATTATTTTATACACACAACTTAAATTAATATTTTTTCATCATTAAAAAAAAAGAAGAAACTGAAATTAAAACCTCCATTTTGAACTTCACTTAACATTTAAAAACTTGTATATTTTTTCATATTTAATTAATTTTCTTTTTCCAGCACATTTGAAATTCAGTGAAACTGCAAAACATTCCACTATATCTGTCCAGACATTATCTTCTGCTAAATTTATGCTTCGAGGAATTTTAACTTCTATTAAGGTAAATCTTGATAATTATTCATTAACAATTTTTTTATGTAAACCACTTGGTGATGGCTTTGTAAAAAAAAAAAAAAAAAAAAAAATTCAATAGATCAACTTGTGACATGCATAAAAGAGAGGCTAATGTCCTAATAACATGTGATGGCAGTTAATATTGTGTTTATACAAATTTATATTGTAATGTTAACTTTAATTTGATATATTTTACAGTAGTCTTTTGTGGATAAAATAACTCCTTTTTATTTTACTTTCAGAAACATCAGACAGAACCCATAACTGGTGAGCTGAACCCAGCAGTGAAAGAAATATGTTCAAAAATAGAAGCTGCTATAACTGTGGTCATCAGCAAGTTAACCTTGGCACAAATGTAATTAAATGCTAGCTTTCTATTAGATTCTTTAAAACACCCATGGTGGGCCTTATTAAAAATCAAGAGACACTAAATAAGTATTTCATTGTATAAAGTGTTGCCTTATTTTTTTTTTTCTTTTTTGCTGAACATATGTTTATGACACATGTTTATTATTGTAAACTAGTTTTTCTTCCAGCATTGACTTTGTTTCAATGAAGTGAGAACTGCAGCTAAAATCAAAATTATATTTTTATGGTTCCATATATTTTCTTCTCATCTCAAATGCCATACCAAGAACTGAAGTATCTGATTACTTTCAATTATCTTCTACTGCTGCTTCTTTTTCATGGCTTTTAATACCAATACATCTAATCCTTAATTATAATAGTGGTGGGGAGGGTAGATATATTAGGAAGCCAGTTTGTATTCTTGGTACTAGTCTAGTTTTAGTTCAATGAATGTTTACTATAAGCTCTAACAAGTAAACTACCAGGTGGCATATACATTTATTCATTTCATCATAAAATAAATTTTTAAGTTTTGGTTAATGAAAGTTTATAGGTTGATTGTTATATTTATTGACAATATATTACATATTTACAATTCAATATGGCCACACTCTGCTTCCTTCTCTACTGAAATACATGACTTCTTCACACCAATTGTACACCATAAGAGCTTTTTTCAGGTCTGATACACTTGAGTATAAGATATGTGCTCTCCAATAGGGGCCATATTGCAAAATCCATAGAATTAATGTCAAGGCTTGATGGAGGCTAAATTGGCTTGTCAAAAAAAAATCCCTGGAAATGTCTCTTGCATCAAATTATCAGTCTGTGAAGACATAGCGATAATGACTTCCAAATGTGGCTAACAAAGAGTGACCTATCTCCTCTCTCCCCAACATTTGCTGGTAAACTGTTCACTTTCACTCCTCCTTCAGTGAACATCAATGACCAATTTCAAATAATGAGACCAGTTGTTTTCTGTTACCAGGAATGTTTCCTTGACCACAGCCTCCACAGTGAAAGTCTTCTCATCTGACCAAATGAAGACTTTGTCTATGGTACACTGCTTCACCAACATTTTTTCCATCTGCCAAGCCATTTTTGCTTCGAGGCATTTGAGAGCAGCTGAAGTCTTTGACTCTCATACGGTTTTATCCCTAAATCCTCCTTAGCAAACTATCCAAAATAATCAGCTTTTTTGCCAGTTTAATGTTTCTTCAATGACTCTTCTGGTACAAACTTAAACAGTTTTACTGCAAATATTCCAGTTTTATAACCTCACATGATACCAACTATTTGATTGTTTTGTTTGAGCTGCTAAATTTAAACTATAAACAATGAAAAAAAAAACGTATTAGAAAGCATTATGCAATATTTTAGACTTTTTTACGAATATATTAGAAAGCTTTCACACTTTCTAGTTGACATAAAATTTTATTTTCTATTTAAGATTTTAATTCTGACCTGTATCTCCAATAAGCACAAATGACCATCCATGATTTGATCAAATCTTAGAAAGCAAATATAATTTTGGTTAAATTTGAGAAAACTTAAAAATTACATCTGGTTCATAGAATTTTAATTATCTGGTTTATGTAAAATTTGTGTTGCTGACAAAAAAAAAGTTCATATCTGACAATATTTAGGGCTTCAAACATTTTTATCTTCTATATTTACATACTTTTTATATATACGAAGAATTGACATTTTGTAAACTGCACTTTTATCCATGGATTTATTTGAAACTAGTTCTCGTGGGTCCTGACCACCAGGCTAGGTTTTCAACAGATGAAGTGTCCAATGGAAACACAATATCACAAAAATGAACTGGTATAAGTTATCATCTCAGAATAGGCAATCAAATGAATACCATGTAGTCTCTGGATTGAATAAGGATTTGGTGCAAAAATCCCTAAACTACAACAAAAGGATACAATGGCCAAAACATGACAATAACAACCAAGATTAGAGAATTAGCTTGAGTAAATCCGTGTACAATAATAATACTTCCCCATCTTAGATTCATACAAATTTAACTACCAAACTTTTATATTTAAACTTTCTAATCATTGCAGCTAGCCTTACAGAAAGTTTCTAACAAATATATTATTGTATCCTCTCACTTTACTATTAAAAATAACTACCAGGAAAATAGTTTTAGAATTTATTTAAAATTCTTTCCATTAAGCCATTAGCTGATGCTAGAAAAAAAATGGCTGTTTAAACAATCTGATTTTTAAACCATGAAATGATTCAATTTGAAAAAGGTTGGAAAATCATAGAAAGGAAGTTTCAATGTTCCCAGCTAAGCCTAATTCCAAAATGGATATTTTATTTTTTTTCTACATCTAACCTAAAACTTTTCATAACCTTATATTTAACCTAGAATGATACATTAATTTTGCAGTAAATAGTAGTATTTCATATTTAGATTGTTTGTGGCATAATCAGTAGAAATTATCATAAATTCTCTGAAAATTTTGGAATGATAATGTGATTACTTATTTTCAATAGGTTAACTGGGTGCAAATTAAAGATTGAATTCTGTTGTAAGCAACAAAAAGAATTATAACTGCCCACATTCTGAAGAGACATGGCACAGAATATAAGCTATAAAAAAAAATTTCAAAGCTAATCCCAATATTACTTCCCTTACATGTTTAAGATGGAAAGCTTAATTGCTCTCATACACAAAAATTTAATGTTTCACTTTTGCATGCAAAACCTAAATCTTTCAGTATAAACTTCTATAGTAATAGAGTATACAGAATTGTTTTTTCTGTATTTAAAAAAAAAAAAATCTCATCAAAGCAGTTAATATAAAAATAGTTATTCATTTACTTGTCCTGATTTCTATAAAAATAACAGTAATTTTTTTGCTAAAATCTAAAGCACTGCAGCTATCCTTGCATAGAACAGTCACTAAGTTTAGTGTTTTTAGTTTGAGTAGTGCTACAATGGAAATAATAAACAAGGATTTTCATGTGCATTTTGTACTGTATCTTCTGGCTAAAAGAATATTAAAATAAGCAACTCCCCCATTAAAGTGTTTTACTAAAGTTTATTAAAATTAAAGTCTGATATCTAAATTGAGCTCATTGAAACTTTTTAAAATCATTTACTGAGTGTTTTATGGGGTGATGAGACTAAAATGGAGTTGTTTAGTTGGAATCAAGCACAGTGAGTGTGGAAGAAAACACAAACTAAGATCCCTAGTGTAAAAACATGGCAGGGGGGAGCTTTTAGTGGAAATGGAGCAGCTGGATGTTTAAAAATCAGGACCATGAGAAAGTATCTTTAGCTCTAAGTATTTATTCAACACAGGAACATAATTATCTGTACACTTCAGCTAAAAGCCAATGGCACAAACTTTCTGGTCAATAACTTCAATGAAATACTTTCTATAGTTATTAATATCTACAAATTTCATTTTGACATATTGTTTCATTCTTTGAAAGTAAACCACTCTAGTAATTTGTAGGTTGTCTTGAATGAAGACAAAGTTCTTGTCCCTATTCAGATTTTCCTTTAAAATCTCAGGATTCATTATTGGAAGTCATAACCTTAACAACATAAGATATGCAGATGACACAAAAGAAACAAGAAAGAACTAAACATCAATTGCAAGAAGACAGAATGCATAGTTGTTTCAAATAAACATTCCAACATACAAATTGGAGATAGCAAAATCAATTAAGTACAATGATTTAAATATCTGGGAAGTGTTTTAACAGAAAGTGCAACATTGATGTCCTGAAGGAGCATTGGGATAGTGAAAGATGCTAAGCAAAGTATTAAGAAATAGGAAAAGAGTACTGAACTGTTATTCAATGTCAGTCTGCCTATAGAACAGTGGATGCAATCTCCTCACAGATGAACCAGAAATACTTGAAGCAACAGAAATGTGGTCTTACAGAGGATACCATGGACCAAACACAACAATGACAAAATTTTAGAGAAAATTGAAAGGAAAATTATACTTAACAAAGAAAAGAGAGTTGAAATTTCTAGGGTACATAATGAAAGAGGGAATGGAAAATTTGACAATCACAGGACAGACTAAAGGCAAGAGGGACAGAGGAAAATAACCACCTAACTAGTGAGCTTGAGTAAATGGATGGTAGAATAAGAGAAAAGAAAAAACAGAAAATTGTAGAGAGCCATGATTGCCAGTGACCTAAAGGAATATGGCACATAGAAGAGGAATGATATCAGGTGCCAGACAGAACATTCCATCTCTGGAGATATTTGATGTATATCAGAAATATCTGATAGAAGGTATTACTGTCCACAGCACAGAAACCAACTATGAGTCCTTAATCATCATGATCAGAAATATCTAGTTAGAATTCTTTGTAGTAAGAGACACTGGCTCAAATCACACCTAATACAGGTAGCATCAAATGCAGTCCAGCAGATTTGTTTACTGTTAACTTCCATGGGATATGAGAGCATGAGCCACTATTAACATCACAACACAGTGTCTTATCCAAGCTTGTAATGTCACTAATTGAACCCTAGAGGACTGGCAATAACAAGCAAGGCACGATGCAGTCTGGTAAGGATTCCAGGAGTTCACAGGTTATGGGCTGGGTCTGTTGGTCCACTATGTCACACTGCTTTGCAACCAGTCACGGACTTCACATGCACCAACAATTATGGGTTATTCTTACAAGATAATACATTGTGTCCAAGTTGCCCAGAATTGGTTTGCAAAGCATTTTGGTGACTTATGACAAACTGTGCAGCTAACATTCACCCGATACGAGTCCACTCAAATATTTATGGAACATAATGAAGAGATCTGTTCACACCAAATATCCAGTATCTCTCTCTCTCTCTCTATATATATATATATATATATATATATTAAATAGCACGAAGGGAAAGTTTAGATTGGTATTTTAATTGAGATTGAAAGATACTACTCCAGTGTGGAGAATAAAATTATTTAAATGGGAATAACTGTTGATAATTGGGTACATAAAAACAACGAGTTTACTTAATGAAC